ATGCATTCGCAACAAATGATTACTGTGAATTTCCCACTGCGGCAGCATTGTCAATGTTAACGCGCGCTTGTCTACTGATACAGTACATACGTTGACTTTCCACGATGACACCAAAGAAGAAGAAGGCTCGAGTCTATCCGAGCGGGCCTTGAACGCGGATTCTATGGGGAGATAGTGAGCTTATGATGCAATTTCGTGTCCTCGGATATCTTACAGTCACTTTCCAGGCAGGCCATTCATCAGATCTCATATACACCCCTCCACATGCTGCTCGCCCTCTTGTCTTGCAGCGATGTCCAAGTTTAATGATGGTACTCGACGTCAGCTTGTTGAGGCAAAGATGGGCGACACGGCGTCTGTTCTCTTTACCCGTCAGCCCGAGGACTTCACGGGCTTACCACTTCCTGTTACACAGACTAGTACTGCAGATTCAGGCCACCAAAACACGAAAAGATGCGTTTATTGGGAATGTTTTATGAAGCGCATGGGTACCGAGTCCCCGTCCTTATCCTCTGCGCTTGTGGATAGTATTCGCGATAGCGGTCAAGTTCGGCTAAGAACAGAAGATAGTACTGACGTTGACGAAGTCGACGAAATTGTCGTGGACCGAGATTGGGCAGAGGATATAAAGAACTCGCCGGACCATTCGCAATACGCTTCGGATAATTCAGGGGATAGCCACATGGCTAATGTCGGTGCAAGGGCTGGTACAAGTGTCGGTCATGAAAGTACAGCGTTTCCAGATGATGGTGGCTTCTTCCGTCAATTTCTCGTTCTTCTCCGCTGGGAGGTTTGGCCAGCAGTTCATAATTTTTTTCTTGTTCGTTTTAATGACGAAAAGACGGAAGCACGATATCAGGAGGAGCGTTGGTATATTAGAAAGGTACTGTGCCTTCTGGACTTCTCTGCTACCTAACTGACGTTTTGTTCAGCCGTTAGCAATTTGGTCGGCCATATTTTTCATTGCCAACTGGGTCATTGGAGCGGCAACAATTGACACGCCCAACACCATACTCGATAAATCATGGATATGGGGTGTAAGTACAAATGTCGTTTGCATGTATTGGCCATGTTCATAATTTGCAATAGTTTATACCTGCGCATACCATTCCTCTCCTCATCTTGGTCATATTCGATTTCCCACGCGACTGTCGAATACCTTATCAGTTGCTTTTAATGATCTCAACGTGGTCATGGTGAGTGTCGTATATATGTAGCTTGCAAGTACAATGATTTTGACTTCTCCTGAGGTGTCTGTATGAGATTGTGACAATGTGAGCCTTAGCATTATGCCTTCTACTGAGACTCTGATACTGGGTAAAGGTATGTATGTGGATATTATAGTGCAGATAATACATGCGGAACAAAGGATTTCCTCGGAACATTCTAGTGCGTGGTACCGGCCTTCGAGCTCAAAACTACTTATCCTTGCTTCTAGCTATACCTCTGCATTACAAACTATAGCACTGTTTGGGATGCGGATGAATAGAATCGCTGCTATGGCGGGGGCACTGACTTTCCTGGTTATGTGAGATATGCACGAGTTTATGTATTGCGACGCCTATACTGATTTCTCATAGCTCAAGTACTCTTATTTTGCCAATTAAGCCAATATGGACCAAGCGTGCGTTGAATGTTTCCAGTCTTATCCCCCTAGCTCACTAGAAATTCCAGACATGCTGAATTTTCTCCTGTATCACATATTCCTCTTGTTTGTGCATTACATGCATGAGAATGTGGGTGGAACAAGTGTTCCTATCTTTTTTATTCTCACCTTCACAGTCTGAACGGCGTCTCTTTATTCTCCGAGAGCAACTCAAAACCCAATTTAAGGCTACCCAGAAGGCTCAAATCAACGAGCGAAAAGAAGCGGACTCTAAGAGGAGGCTTACGTCGTACGCATTATGTTCGCACGCCCGCATAGTTTGCTGACTTGACTATTGTTATTAGATATGTCTTCCATGATAAGTACAGTATCTTCTTGTCCTTACCTGACTCACTAGAAATTTACAGGTGCGAGTGCCCTTGAACACAGCTTGTAGGTGTTATCAGGTGCAGGGTAGCTAGTGCTGATCCTGATCGAGCGTCTAGTGCTTGCCGTGCAGAATATGGAGGCGTCGTGCGCTGTATCTAAAGCGCAAGAAATAGAATTCATGGCATTAGGGGGTAGCTTGGTAATGATGTCTAAAGGTAAGTCCATCTTCGTTTATTTTCTGCACCTAATCAATTGCCCAGCAGTTCTCAACGACATGCTTGACTTGCTTGAGTAGCTCCCTCGCTTCTAGGAACCGTGTCTGACATCGCTCCTAGCAATCGCATGGATAGCGGTCTATTCGAGATCTTGTCTAAACCTTACAAATTCCATGCTGTTATGCGCTCGTTGTTCATTCCACTACGCATGGCAACAGATGCCCGCAATCTTGAACTCGTAACTTCTCTTGACGAGACCATCGACAAGGTTGCGCGACAAGCCGCTTTCGAAGCTGCAGGCGATAATTTGGCAGAATCTGAGGAGTATCTGAATAACAAGGAAGACGGCATCGTTCTTGGGGATGCTACTAGGCTGCGACAGATCATCAACAATCTCGCAAGGTCTGCATCTATTCATACGTCATCAAGACTGTCTGGAACGTTTCATTTTTAGCAACGCCTGTAAATTTACCCCTGAGGGAGGCAGAATAATGTGTTCAACACGTCTCATATTTCCTGCACATCCTGCGCCAGAACCTTCATCAAGACCAAGAATTGATATAGGCGAAGATACGATAGAGGAGGTTCTCCGCGCCCCCGCTGATGATTCTGATCCACTACATCCAACAACGAGCGGGGGACAGGACGTGGAATTTTCAACAATGAAGGGCCCACCAAAGCAAATCGTTGTGCGGATTGAAGTTAGCGATACAGGACACGGAATTCCGCCCAGGGAGATGGCCCAGGGCAAGCTGTTTTGTGAGTGATCGTCTCGTGAATTCGTTGCAAGATGCTCACTTTTTCAGCTGCATTCAATCAGACGGAGCAAGGTAGACAACAAGGCGGAAAGGGCACCGGTCTTGGCCTGGCCCTTGTCCGCCAGATCGTAAGGCTGAGCGGCGGTCGGCTAGGCCTGCGTTCTAAAGTTGGTTATGGGTCAACATTTTGGGTCGAGCTACGTAAGTTGTCTAGGTTGTTCAGCCCGACTTTAATTGTTTATGCACATGTTTTGCAACAGCGCTGGGTGTCGGAGTCAAAGTTGTCGATGAACCAGACGCGGAGTCAACTCTGCGCGAGAAGCAGCGCACCTTTGAGCTAGCCGGGCCGCTATCAGTGGATCTACTGACAAGCAGTGCCCCGACGCAGTCAGTCTCGACAAACATCATGCAGACCATGTTGGACGAAGGTCAGCATTATACATACTCTGTTCATCGTGTAAAGCAAACATCCGATTTTAGGGGGTCTGGTGCAGTTGAATTTACCAAATACAGTTAACAGCTCTGAAACTTACAGGCTCACTCGGACTATCAGTGAACTCTCGTCGGGCACCCAGCTTTGTCCTCCGTTACCTACTCCACCTGTCGATGAGTTTGGCGAGAACCTGGGTAGCATCATGTTCTCCCGAATGGGAAAATACTTAGTTGACAGCTCACCTACGGTCGTTGCGGATTCGCTGAAGAGTCTCGATGATGCTACCCCACTTCCAGCTATCTCATCTATGTCAACTCGCCCAGACCCGCCAGTTCGACAGCCAGCTTCCCAATTATCGGTGTCCCTACCGTTGCCCTTGAGCCGCAAAGGGTTCACTGCCGGTTTTGATCCGCCTATACTTGTTCTAGTCGTTGACGATGACCGCATTACTCGTACCGTTATGTCTCGAATGCTGACGAGATTAGGATGCGACGTCTCAACCGCCGAGAATGGTGAAATCGCGTTGGAGATGATCATTGGCGGTCCAGGAACTTCGAAGACCGAAGATGGACCTAATTCCAGGGCCTTCGACCTCAATCATGATAGTGAAAGGGTCCATAATGGTAAAGGGACCGAGAATGGTTATGCATATGATGTCGTCTTTCTTGATAATCAGATGCCCGTTATGTCTGGTTTGGATCTGGTTTCCAAACTTCGAGAGATGGATAGGGCCGATTTCGTCGTTGGAATTACTGGTCAGTACTACAGTTGAAATGCGCCCTCAAGTATTCTGACGCTGAAGCAGGTAATGCACTCATCAATGACCAGAAAGAATACTTTGAGGCGGGTGCGGACCAGTATGTGGCTTTCCTAGTTCATCACGTTCCAATCCAACTAAATTTCTATCAGCATCTTGACAAAACCTGTCTTTGAATCTAGCCTGGTCAAAATGTTAACGATCGCGGACGAACGGCGGCAAAAGTTATGAACTTTGACGACCTTGATACCGATGGGCTTATTTGTCCTCCTTGTTTATAGCACTCTCATCTACGGCAAACAATCTTACGATGTTCTTTATTTTGGACTTTTCACGTATAGGATCGCACAACATTTGCCATGCTAGATCTCGTTATCTATCTGTATTATTCACTCCTGCACACACGCTATTTAGCCGCCAGGCGATATGAAAAGGAAAGTTTGAAAGCAAAAAGACGATGCGGCTGGTTATCAATTGCTGATTGAATGATAATAGTCGATAAATTCTTGTTCCCTGCGTCAATAACTAGTAATCATTTGCAACGGAGGTGTTCGGGCTAGGTGTGTGACTGGGCACCCCGTGAAAAGGCTTGCTAGAGACAATACTCGTACAACGAGAAACAAAGGTCTGCAACGGCTTGTAATCGTAAGTACATTGGAACTGTATTTCGAGACTGCACGATAAACAGCGAACCTGTCAGGAGTCATGTTGTTTACATAGGTGCAGCTTTGTTCAGGGACGAAGATTTGCGTGAGATACAATAAGTATTGAGTGAGGCTGGAGACGATCCGCATCTGGAACCTGAAAAAAAGCTAGAGCTGCTATCCTTCACCTTCGGATACATTGCAAGCTTCCGTAGAATCTATGTTTCAGTTTTCACTTCTTCCTCTAGACCATCATTCTGTGTCCACTCAGATACATGAACCTGCGAAGGCTTCATGGAATATCGCTGCGAACTCCTTCTTTCGATTTCCCCGCTATAAGCCATCGGGAGGAAATTTGGAGTAGTTTTCCAGGGTGTAAGGCGAATCAACACCATGTAGAAGGCAATCGAAATGATTGGCATGATCTAGGTCGAGTTTCAGTCTCATAACGGGCAGTGACGGTTATAATTACCATGTCCAGCATAATATACTGGGCGTTGTTCGCGCAGATGAAACATATTAGTATGGTCACCAGGGCTGCAGAGTACAAGATAGCGGCATCTACAAGCACGTGCACGATGGGCATCATGGTGCCATTCGTAGCGCGATTTTGAGAGATTTTACGTTCCACCGTCCAGATGCGATACACAAGTAATCCTGGATTTCAGGTCGTTATGAGCTGTCGACATCGTGTTCATGCGGAAGCAGGCTTACCTGAACTTATCAGATTAGTTGAAAGTGTCAAGGTAAACAACGCCGTGATCCATTGTCCAGTCTGATTAGTGTAGACGTTTCCGCCAGTTGCCTGCGAAGCATAGTAGGGTGCGATTAAAGCGGCCACTTCGATACAAAATCAGCAGTCAATTCCCCGAGTACGGTAGCGATCTGACCTGAGGAGCCGCACCACAGCATGATTGGTAGAATGATTACCCGAACGGATTGCCAAACGACATAACAGCGATAAATCTTTTATCATACAAGGCTTTTTAAGCCCAAAGAGCTGTGAGCTGGTAGATAAGAATAAAACACACCACCACCCCATCGCCAATCATAGTTTGCAAGGCGTATATCAGGTTCTTTGTCACAAATGTTGGTTGGCTGATGTCTTGGAAGAACGCCACTGGTCCGCCAGGAAAGATGTCGCGATACTTGACAAATCCATCTTGGAGACGAATGATGTCTACGATCAAGTGCTGGGGCAAATTCAGCAGGTGGTATCAGGTGTAAGAGGTGAGGGGCTAACTGCAGTGCTTAATATCAACAGCAGGATTGCCGCCAAAGCGATCGGGCGATTTGCGTCACGTTTGTAGTGGATCGACGCCCACATTGTGCCCATAAACATGAGAACTGAAAAGCCTGAAGAACCCTAGGTTGACGGGCATGGACGAATGCTCATCGTAGTACTCACCAAACAAGATGCCTTCCAGCGCTGTTGAAATTATAGTAGCGGTATCTAGCGGAATGCCTGTTGAGACCATGGCGAGAACAACCTGGATGACTTGGGAACGTACGAGACGAGGACAATACGAGGGCCCAACTTTATAGAGCCTTAGTGTCATCAGCGGTCTAGCTCATCAGGGTATATTTTTGGAACATGCTAACCTAAAGAAGAGAAAGCACTCGTCTTGTTGCGAGATGGAGATGATTTGCGGATGGCGGATGGCGGATGATGCTTGAAAAATTATTGTCATGAGTGAAGAACTGCAGACAGAGAAAAATGTTAACTAACACACAGTGAACATTAATACGTGAACGAACCATAAGACATGGTGCATGATATCATATAAGCGCACAAGAGACACTCCTGTGTAAAGTAGTTAGTCACTGCCAAACCGTGACGTACCTCTAGAGACAGGCTGTGTCTCTGGCAGTGCTCGAGCTTTACATCTCACCACTAATGCTCCGCTGTCAAGTAGTTTTGAAGTAGCTCTCCGTCACGGTCGCTCAGGCGATTATAACGTGTAAAGGTTGCTTGCTGGTTTGATTGGACACCCCGCTGTAAAGGTCAGAGTCTGCTGATTCAAACAGTCATAGCATCCGTGGGAAGTAATACCCGATTGTACGCAAGGTTCCGATGAAGTTCCGAGGACCGAAGGCCGAAGGTGTACGATCAGCTACACTTTTTATATCTTATCTTCAAATTTCAATAAGCCTGGAACCTGGAGACTCGTTCTGCGAGTCGGCGCTGTCGTTCGGATTCGTCGCTATGACCAAGTCCGAATCATTGCATTGAGCTGCTTTAATATTCCAGCCAAACTTCCAGAGTGTGCTTATAAAGTGGCCGCACCTGACTCAGGATGGCGCATGTAACGCTACATCTACAATAATTGATGTTACTCTATGTACAATCATGATATATTCTAACTTGTCTTTGCAGAGCTGGCGAGAGCACATTCACCATGCGCATAGACAAATCCTGCTTTTCCGTGACTGGCTTGGCCGTGGTATATCATCATGGTGATACTTTCCATCGTCCGGTGAGCTGGTTAGCGCGGAGAACGAGCAGATCCCTGAGCATTTGTAGCGAGTCCTTGACAACATTCAGTTTGCTCCCCGCCACCTCATGCCATTGTACGGGGACCTCTGCAACAGCTATACCCAGCTGCTTCGCAAGCAGGAGTAGCTCAACGTCGAATATCCATGTGGCAAGATGTTGTGCAGGGAAAATCTGCTGTGCAGCGCGGCGTGAGAATAGTTTGAATCCGCACTGAGTGTCACGAATATGCCCCACGCCCACTATGCGTAGGATAGTGTGCAAGCCATACATGAGGATGTTGCGGAGCACAGAGCGCTAACGGAGAGCGGTGTAAGAAGTCAGTCATGTCATATCGGTAAAAAGGCGTACCTTGACCACAGCTTCGGTCTTGACGAGGTGCGCTCGACTGCCGACGACCACCGTCGGCTCGTTCTCCCGCCCAAGTTCGTCCATCTTTTTCCACAGCAGTTCCAAGTCTTCAAAGCGACTTGCACCGTCCGCATCCACCATCAACAGTCTGTTTCCGCGTGCGTGTAGCATCCCATGGCGTACCGCACCGCCCTTGCCAAGGTTCTTTTCAAGGGTGACAACCCGAATATCGCTATTGAGGTGTTGCTGTGCCAGTTTTAGGGCAAGTGCGGACGTGTCATCTTTTGAACCGTCGTCGATGATAATGAGCTCGTATGTACGTGTCTGGCGGATGGAAGTGGAGTCAAGGTGATCAAGTGTCGTTTCGAGCATGGACGGGAGACGGGATGTTTCGTTGTACGCGGGAATGATGACGCTGAGATCAATGGAGGCTGCATCGGCGAGAGATGGAAGGCTGAGAGGGTCTTTGAGGGATTTTCGTGAGCGGTATGTCTTTTCTGAGGGTCGGGTTATTATTGGGGGAGGCGAAAGTAAGATGAGAGCTAGATAGAGCTAGTGATGATTAGCGAAAATGTTAAAGCGGATTGGTATGGAGAAAATAGTCAGGCAAGAGGGAAATGATTCCCTGACCCAGAATTTGTCGTCTTCGCCGCGGCGCAACGTCTCTCGAGACGGCCCGTGGCTCGAAGAACAAGGATGAAATGGGTGCTCATCATACGAAAACGAAAGACCAGACATTGACGTTGAAATTATCACTCACACAAGGTAACGATATGGCCAGAGCAGTTAGCGAATAACCAAGGACAGATTGGTCCATTTTTAAAGACTCATTCAAGGAACCATACGGTGAATTGAAGCGAGACTTTGTCAATCGAGACTCTCAGAGGGCCACTTTGAGAACAGTGCCTCACGATGGGATGGTTCGTCACGCAATGTATCATGTCACACAACATTACGTGACTCTGAAGGACCGCGATGTCAGCATCAGGCAAACGACCTGAAAACGATAAACACATCGGGGTTATCGATATTTAGGAGATGTTTTTATGTCGTACCAAATGTGAAGAAAATATTTGAAATTTAATCAGAGGTAAAGCTTTGTTTTCACAGGTTTAATCTGTGAAGATGAATTCTATGATCGTGTCCGCACACGGACCACGCACCGCTGTTTTCACGTGGCTTTGAGCCCCTCTTCCTGTGATCTGGGCACCTGCGCTTTAGGTGAACTGCACCCTTTCTGCTTTACCGCCGTTCAGCAGGAAAATTTTGCTAAATTTGAACTCGTTCTACTCGTTCCATCTTATTCAGTGAATGGATCCTCGTAATTTCGATTCTCAAACTCAAGACAGTTGTGATCCGAGTTCTTCGTCTAAGCAGCTTTCTCAAGATCAATCTTCGTTTGCAACCAAAAGTACCTTCAACTTGGACTGTCTTGGAATTGTAGGTCGTTACCGACGAGGATCAATATCCAAGACAGATGCCTTTCTTGAAATGCTCGAACGAGCATCGTCTGTGGAACAGAATGAGTTTGGAGGGCGTTCAGTCGCCGAGCTCGTCACCCCCTATCACCGCATGCTCGACACCTTTGAAAAGGAAGTTATCCAAGCTGGAAAACAAGATCGCGAGCGCAAGAAAGAAGCTCCGGAAGATGGAGGAAGATCACGAGAAAGTATCATTAGCGCGGAAGAGTCAATTAACTCAGACTCCGAAGAAAACTTTGAGTCAGAGGTTGTCGAGTCCAACTCTGCTTCAGAGGTTGACGAACCGGCGCGTAAAAAGCAACGAGGCTTTAAACTTGACCTCTCCAACCTCACAAATCCTTCAGTCATCAGAAGGTCAAAGAAGCTCCCTCCCTCCTTACGAAAAACCAACTCTATCCTCGCGAATTGGGCCCATGATCCCAAGCGGGTCAAACGTAAGTGGCTTGAGTCAGCGTTCGTCCCAGAATTCCCCGAGTCAGAGCTTTATAACATCATCCACGGAAGAGTTGTTAACTTCGATGTCGTATTTTCAGGGTGGTATTCAGACGAACCGGAGCAAGATTATGAGGAAAAGCTTGGGAAAGTCAAGATCAAAATTGGAGGAGAAGCTGAACCTGCAAAGTCCATACGGAGCTCACAAGATTGGAGTGTCGCATACTCTCTCTTTGCCTGCGCTATGCGATTTGCATTCCCACACCGAATTGATGAGATCGACGACTACGGAAACTTCATCCATCAAAAGTTCGCCCAAAACGTCAGCAAATATCATTCGCGTGTCATTGCCTTCGACAAAGCAGTCAGAAAGCGAGTCAGTCGGAGGAGAGATCTGCTGCTCTCCGATTTCGACCAGTTTTCAGACTTGTACGAGGGCCATTTCTCCCTCTCAGGATGTTGTGTCAATGAGGAAGGAAGCTCGACAGGATCAAAGCGTCAGAGAGGACTGGAGTGCTGCAAGAGATGGAACTTCAAATCTTGCAATCGGTCAGACTCTTCGTGCAACTACCGACATGCCTGCTCAAAGTGTGGAAGTTCTGAGCACCCCAAAAAGAGCTGCGCATCCCGGACACCCTCAAACTAATATAGTTTCAAAACATCCTCATTACTTGAGAGGAATGGCATGGTTCTTAGATGAGTGTTCCTTCAGTCCCTCAGTGAAATCTTCATTGTATGCAACTCCTCTTCCGTCTCCTGGAACTTGTGACTTTTCGGACGTCGCTCTGGATGCTCTGAATTCTCGTCTGGACCTTTTCAAAATCATAACTCCCATCAAGATCGACTCATTCCAAAATCTGCTTCAAGATCACCCAAACCGCGCATTCGTGGAGTCTATCCTAGAAGGCCTGTGCGAGGGCTTCTGGCTGTGCGCAGACACTGCTATTGATGGATATCCGGAAATGTGGGATAACTCTCATCGCCCACTCAAGAATGAAGAGCACCAAGCTTTCGTCCAAGAACAGGTCGATGAAGAAGTGCGTCTTAGTCGTTTTTCACCTCCTTTTGGCCCAGAGCTGGTACCTGGGATGTATAGCACTCCGGTACATGTGGTACCAAAACCTAACTCAACCAAACTTTGCCTCGTTGTAGATCATAGCACTGGAGAATTCTCCCTTAACTCAATGATAAACCTTGACAATGCTTCGAAAGTTAAACTAGACGGCATGCGTTCTCTTGGACTCAGTCTTCTTCAGTTTCGTCGGGAGCATGGAAACGTTCCTCTCGTAGTTTTCAAGTCTGATGTATCTCAAGCATATCGCCGGCTACCTATGCATCCTCTTTGGCAACTCAAGCAGGTGATCACTGTCAACAACAACTGCTATGTGGATCGCTGCAACAATTTCGGGGGGAAGGGGTCTGCTTTGATCTGGGTATCCTTCATGTCCCTCGTCACTTGGATCACAAGTGTGGTGTGCTTAATTGAGCATTTAAAGCTCTACATGGATGACACATTCTCATTCGAGTTGGAGGGTAATGTCCTACTCTATGAACCTTACGGTACCTATCTCCCTCATAAACAAGTCCTATTGCTACGTCTTTGGGACCAACTGGGGATTCCTCATGAACCGGCGAAGCAAGTCTACGGTCATCATCTCACTATCATCGGATTTGATGTAGATCCGAATCAAATGACCATATCAATTTCGGACACCAAGAAAAGTGAACTCTTGGTTTACATCCGCTGTTTCGCCATACCTCGCCATCGTCACACCTTGCGTGAGTTTCAACAACTTGCAGGAACCATCAATTGGCTTTTCAATGTCTTCCCACTCCTCAAGCCGGGACTCTCGGCTATCTATGACAAAATGCGCGACAAAACAAAACCCTTGGCTCAAATATACGTGAATTCAGACGTTGTACGGGAATTAGTTCATCAGGGAAAACCTCCCGCGGGAATTTTGCAAATGCGACAAAAATTTCTCGAAATTCGCATAATATTTTCAAAAGTTGTCAACAAAGCTAGTAAATAGTTGCGTATGCGTGACGATCAGTGAATGGGCTAACAAAAAAGTCTCTACACAGTTCCAAAACATTGCTGCTAGTCCAATCCCGAGGCGCAGAGCGGCCAAATTTCGGTATAAGATGTACACTGCGTCGAATATCTTTCACAGATATTATACTAACTAGCTGTTCCCCATTTTCGTATGATCGCGAGACCTTGTGCATACCATGATTTCTCTCGCTTGTCCCGGTGAATGGCGAAAACCACTCGACGTAGGCCAAATGTTTAGGGATCAAGATATGGGAGGGAAAAAGGCTAGTGTGATGTTTCTCGGGTATCGAAAATATAACCCGCACTTGGGCTACACGGTAACCTTGTATGATTCATCAGTGACTTGAAACGGTCAACCAAATGATATACAGACCTTCCACACTCTTCTCTCCCCCATTGCCACAGTTGACAAGAACTGTATCGAAACGTCCTGGCACGGTATTCCCTCGCTTATCTCTTCGTGCAGGCTGACAGTGAACTGAATCAATGGTAACACTTTCATCTTTATGGCCAGTGGAGTCGACCGCATTGTGGCAATCCCATCTTGAGTCAGCCATTTGACCATCCCGCTATCAATACTGTATGCCAGTTAGCCTTTTTTACGAGTCAGGACCAGGTTGGGAAGAAGTATAAGGATCGGTTTGTCTCTGTGCTTGATGACAATGATGAACCCGAGATCCCGAGTGCCATGGTCTCAGCTGTGGTTACTGCGGTGTGTCGTATTCTAACTATTCAAGCGCTATCTCACTGTGTTCTACCAGATTTTTTCTTCCCTACTTGATCTGAAGTCCGTTGTTGATGTAGGTCGCGAGCGTGGTGATTTTGGGCAAAGTCTCATCGGCATGTTTGACAACAATATGGAAATGCTCAACGGAATCTACACCAAGGGCCCGCATGTTTACCATTCTCTCATGGCTCGAAAATACAAGGCTGTTAGGTATGTGCTAGTCTCGCATCTTTGTTGCATGCTGCTCATAACTTTCTGCAGCAATGTGGTTGACTTTGCATCCGCCGAGTTGAAAGCAGCATTTGCGCGAATCGATTTCGATGGGATGAGTATCGACTAGGGCATTCCTGATAGCACAAGGACTTTGCGTTACAACTTTTGTCTCATTTCCTCATTTTCATATCTTGTGATTTGCGATATTCTAGTATATACCCTGATTTAATCACATTATAATCATTTTGTTGTATTCATGTGGATTTTTGTAAATTTTCACCCATCCGTAGAGGGACTTGGAATATTTTAATGTATTTTCAGAAAGTCAGAAAATTTCAGAAAATCTTATGAAATCTTCGCGGGAGGTTTTCCCTGATGTTCGACTGCTGGGGCCTCATCTATCATCGATAATATTTGGCATGACAGTATGTACTGGCATGCCATCCTTTTGTCGCCTGCCTCCACCGGACCTTTATTCCATTTCCGTTCCCACGTGGCTATGCTCCTTCTGGCAAATACTCAGAACGTTCATCCGCATTCATTTATCATTATTGGCGCCCATGTAAGTAGGCACATTGTACTTTGTCGCCTTGCTTTCCTTGTAAATTTTACGTTGTTGTGAGTCGCCCCCACTTTGTCCTTGTTCTTTTATCGTATTTAAATGGTCATCCTGGTCTTTACTCTTCTAGACTTAACCATCACCCATAGACGACGGTACATACTGTCGTCATTCACCTGATACCTGCGTCCCGTCCATCGCTCAAACGATGCATGTGTCAGGAGTGTATTACCAGGGGCGGATGCAATGAATCAGGCGCACCAAAAGGAGTGTTGATGGCAGAACGCTTAATCGCTGCTCATGTCCAGCGTGTAAAGGCTGAACATGCTGAGCCCGTGGCCGTCACCTCCAATCTTTCTGCATGCACCACCACTGGCAGCAGCATCGCTCCATCCCATGTCTGTGTTCTGGCGGATGAACTCGGGCGGTTAACATTGTCACCACCACTGAAGTCAACCCGCAAGGGTGCTGGCGAGAAAGTATCCAAGAAGGAACGCGATCGGCGAACCATGAGGGCATTAGATGTCTTTGACAACATCGAGTCCCGAATTCAACGGATCTTCCGCTTGCTACTGGATTCTGGTAACCTTAATGGCGCTGGCCGCGAGGTACCTTTGCTTCGCAAAGCTGTCGAGAATGTCAGTTGACGGTACCCATCGAGATTAATACCGGTAAGCAACGAGCATGTGGGTCACGGGTTCTTTGCTTATTGTACGATAGATACCTTTCAGGTTTCAGTTGATCGATCAGATGAAATCAGCCAAGTCGTCTTATTACTTTGCGTCGCATGTAGGGTTATCATGGGAATGAGCAGGAGTAGCTGCGATTTGATTGTGAAGATTATCACCATCATACTGTTCCTTGCATTTCGGAAGTCAGACGGTAGTCTTAGCTCGTCACACGAAAACATCCTCAAGCAGATCCCATTAACATCGGAAAGTGCGGAGGCAAAATTCCACCTTACTGGGACAACCATCCCGTATGCCATTTGCAGTTGTCATTGCACCTACGCGCCAATTTATGCGCCAGGCTCAACCACCCCAACATACCCCAAACATTGCACATATTGTCCTACTCCTGAGACCGAATGTGGCGAAGATTTACTTGTTGGCGCTGACAGAGAACCCAGGCCCAAGAAGATTTTCTTGTACCATGACTTCAAAGATTATCTTGCTAGTCTCCTCTTGTGTAGAGATATCGAGGCTGTAATGGGTCAGGCGTGCGATGATCTCATGGAATCCATTAACTCTCCTCATCTGCCCTTCGTCAAAAATCCATTTGAATCTCAATTCCTCCATCAGTTTGGTGGCCCAGAGCCAGGCTTGCTTTTTTTTGACAGAGGAGAGGAAGGGCGCTATGCCTTCGCCCTTTTTGTGGACTTCTTCAATCCAGAAGGGTTGAATATATGCGGAGCTAGCACATCCTGTGGAATCATCTCCATGGCGTGCTTGAATCTACCGTTGGATATTAGATACAAGCCGGAGAACATGTATGTTGCAGGCATCATCCCAGGTCTGAAGCAGCCATCACTAGAAAATCTCAACCACTACATCCGACCGCTCATCAACGACTTAGTAGACGCATGGAAGTGCGGTGTCAAATTCTCCAAAACTGCCTGTTACCCTGATGGCCGTGTTACTTGAAGTGCCGTTGCCCTGGTTGTTTGTGACCTTCCTGCTGCTTGACATATCGCTTCTCTGGCCGGAGTTAGTAGTCATTTTTACTGTAGTGCATGTGATTGCTACCACAAGTCTACTTATGGAAGAGTAGACTTCGAGAATTGGAAACCTTGCAATAGAGATGAACTCTGAGTATATGCGGAGCAGTGGAGAGACACTGCCACGTCCGGTGAACGTGAAACATTGTTCAAGGCTCACGACGTGCGTTATTCCAAGCTTTGGCATCTACCATACTGGGACCCCTCTCAGCAACTGGTTGTTGATCCGATGCACTGCCTATTGGAAGGCTTAGTTCCTCACCACACTCATAATCTACTTGGTTTGACTTCGAGGTCAACCACATTGACTTCTGTCATTCCCGCATTTACATATGATTTTGGCAAAGTGCCTCCTGGGACAATGACGTTGAAGGAAATGACGCAGATATCTGCGATCCAGACTCTCCTTGTTTCCCAGATGAGTATTTCCGATGAAGAGGCTTGTTATAACAAGCTGAAGGACTCTCTGTTGCACAAGAATACGGAACCATTGAAGTTCGTCTGCAATACCCTGGGTTGTATGCCAAGTAAAGCTGGTAGAACATTTAAGATAGATTATGTTAAAGTCCTCCTCAACTGGGTAAGTTCTTCGCCATCGTGTTTACTGTCCTGAGTTTCCTAACGCTCATATACAGCGTCGTGGAAAGCCTTTAGCTGCTCCCCAAGATGAACCTCAGTTTGGGACAGCAAAAGTGCTTGGACATATTTGCGATGTCATTCGAGATACATCTGTCCCCACTTGGCTTGGTTCAGTCCCTAGTAATTTTGGAGAGGCATCTGCTGGGACACTTAAAGCTGATGAGTGGCAATCACTCATCATGGTCTACCTTCCTATTTCCCTTGTGAGCTTGTGGGGAGCCGGTACCTCACATTCTTCCGATGAACTCGCTGTCCGCCTCAAAGTTGTTCTTGATCACACTATGGAACTTGTCGGTGCGGTGTATATTGCATGTGCACGAACCATGACTGCAAGACGAGCGAAAGCGTATCGCTCGTACATCTCTGGTTATGTCGGAAAGTTGAAGGAGATCCATCCTACCTTCTCTCTCTGCCCAAATCACCATGCGTCTTTCCACTTATATGACTATCTACTCCTATTCGGGCCCGCCCACTCGTGGTGGAGTTTTCCCTTTGAGCATCTGATTGGAATACTTCAATGTCTCCCTGTAAATCACAAATTTGGTGAGCCCTTATTATACGGAACGAAAAAAGTAGACTGATATCTTGTCAGGGGAGCTCGAGAACACAATGCTTTGTTCGTATATCAAGGCTACTAGGTTTCGCCATTGGCTTGCTCGACCAGACTGTCTGCCTGCTATACAAGAGTGCAGGGTCCTTTTCGATAAAGCATATGCCCCAAAGGGTGCTATAGATCCCCACCAAGAGCTTGCTGAAGATCCTATGGATGATGTTGTCCAGGCGCCTGACTCGGCAACGACCAGTGCAGTGCCTGAGGATTTATATACCCTTCTCTGACGGCGAAAAGCAGTATTACAGGCCTCACTCAAGTTTGATGGTATTATTTACAGCAGGGCATCTACGCACCTGGGAAACAGCCAGATTCTGTTCTATCCCGACAGAGATAGATCGTTGACCCCTGTCCCCGCTAGTATCATATATATATCTATGGTACGACGACAGGAGAAATGTCGTTCGCTGTACAGCGACATCTCCCGCTGGATATTCACAACCGTACAATTGACCCCTTCTCGATGTATCCCGATTTTCCGGCCAAGTTGTACTTGACAAACTTACAGAGTAGTCTCAAAAAAGTCAAGGTGTCCTGGGTAGTTGGCCACTTTGCACGGTGGGCGGTTTCTGACTCTCATGCAGTAATTTTATCCCTATCTCGCGATTGATAGATTTAGCTAAACCCTCTCAATGATTCATACTGACGATTGTATCTTTTGTATCGTATCATATTGTATTGTATTGTATCGGTGTCATATGTTATTACTAGATATCCATGATAATAACAGTGTATATTTGAATTCTCGCATATCTGCAAATGTCATACACGAGGTAATGAGTTCGGGTGGTAAGCAGGCGACGAATGAGTTATGTGCGGGCAATGGTCGGGCAATGGGCGGGCAATGATCGGGCGATTCATTTCGTCTGCAGACAAAACTTGAAGTTTTGTCATCACATTTTGCCACCGGTGTAAACTTCAAATTTTCAGGGTGTCCTAATTGTCAGACAAAACTTGATAAATAAGCAGGCATATAGTCATGTCCCAAATTTCATGTTTTGTCTGCCGTTTTAGGTCTGAATTAAACTTCAAATTCGAGCACACGCAGAGAATTGGATTAAATTTCTTATTGTTGTTGACATATAGTCGGTGGGAATATGGTTGCCAATGCTTGAAATTTTGTATGTTGTCCAAAACATTACCAAAATTTGAAGTTATGTCCCCATCTTTATGTCGGTTTAAATTTCAAATATTTTCTTCACATTTGGTACGACATAAAAACATCTCCTAAATATCGATAACCCCGATGTGAAAGCTTTAGAAAGCTTTATCTGGTCTAAAATATGCACAATATGTGTCAAAATTATACTCAAAATGAGAAAGCTTTGAATACCCGGACTTACACTGTCAGTTGCCGAAAACCTATTGTAGAGCCCAAAAATGGTCAATGTGTCAATGAGCCCTGAGATATATTTATAATATATTTTTCTCACTATCTGTGTGAGAGATTTGGTTTAGAGCTATTCAAGAGCTGGGAAGCAGCCTATACAAGATATATCATATATAGCAGCGTTCTGAAAAAGTAAATAAAATTTTAAAATGAAACAGGGAAGGTTCAAACTCAAACATTCCGCTTGGAGCATTCCAAGTTCACAACGAAGCTATACCGTTAAGCTATCAGTTCTTGTATATCTCATGTTGCTAATAGTATATCATCACCTCTAGGTCATCTCTTCACAAATTTTGCTAAGTCTCGCAGCGCAAGCATCTTGATCAGTGTAACATCTAACATACACAAAGCAGTTTTTCAGAAATTTAAGTTCTATATGATGCCATTTGCCTTCAGTATGCTCAGGGAAATAGAACTTGGTGTATTTTGTGTAGGATACACATAGTGAATACTAGCAAGCTACCTTGACTTCATTAATGAAATTCTAGCTAGGATGTTCATGCGAGCTTTTTTATAGGTATACCATAGATCTGATGCTTAGACCTATGCACTAGCCCTGAATCAGACCAAATTTGAGCTGTAATCAATCTGTTGCGCAGGTCAGGAAAAAACCTTTGGTAAAGATCTGATCTATTAGCTTTACAGCATTATTTATTTATTTATGTACCATGTCTATATTCAACCTTGTATCTGCCTGGTTGCCGGGTGTTGTAAATAGTTTTCTCACTATATCGCTACAGCCTAAAGCGGCCGCTGGTGGTGTAGTTCGACGGAATCGGCCAAATGCTATGGCACTATATCTGCACATTTATTATTTGCATGTCCTGCGGCTTGCACGCTGCGCGTTTTTGTCAATACAGAGTGGGTGCGTTTTAATCAAGAAGTTCCGCATTCCCGAACTGCGCATTTTCGCCAATCCAGAGCTGGCACGTCTTGATTGGACTCAAAACTCAACTTGAAGTTGCCGCCATGATAATTATGATATCTACTTTCCTTCAAGCAATTTGAGACTCGGACCACTGCAGTATAGTATTTGTACTGGTACAAACATCACTCTATACAATTGAATACGACGAGTCTACATCGTACGATGGATGAAGTCCTTGTGGTTGAACATGAGTAAAACTAACATGAATACTAGTAAGACTATGATGAAGGAGGCTCAGGCTCGAAAACCAGTTTCTCTACTAGGAAGCTGCAAGTCTCGGAAAGAAATTGTTGGGCGTGCTTGAATGCCGCTCCCTGATGGAGAATCTTGAACATGAGGTCTTTGCATCCTTCACTGACATGTCCAAACTGCAGTTCCTTGAAGCGTTTGACGGCGTCATCGTACAGCTGTGGATTCCTACCATCAAGAAGAAACCGGCCCATACCATTCCACCAAATTGCATGCCAGTCCTCGTTGCAACCAGTTGGGTCTTGACACTCATTCGAGTGCATCAAGATCTTCGGTTCCTCCACAGCTACGATCCGGTGGTGACTATCAAGCACAGCCTGAACGTAAATTACATTCAAAAAAACTTCGTTGCCCATCAACTCCCGGTGGGCATGAGTGAGCTCGGTGATTGGGGTTTCTGCCAGTTGCTGAAAAGCATATGGAAAGATGGAGCGGACGTGGTATTTGATGGCGAGGTTGATTAACTTAGCTGGGTGGAAACGGTAACGTGTGGAAGATATGCGGGAAATAACGAATTCGCGTGCATGGGAGCATTGATACATGTTGCAGAAACGGAGAAATTTCGAGAGTTCATCAATGCTATGAGATCCAGTACGCATTCTACCATGACAAACGGTTCAGTTACTGACTGAAAACATAAAATATCAACATACCTTCCAAACATGAATTCAAGAAACAACTCAAACGTCTCCCGAGATATTCCATTGAGGTGAATCGGTTTCTCATCACACATGCCATCTACTTCTGGTTGCCTAGAATTCTCCATGGTAGAAAACATATCATGAAAGACATTGGAAGATGCAGATAAGATTGAGCTGCAGAGTTTGTATAGTGTATTCTCTACCTGTCAATGAAAAGTTTTCAAATTAGTATGATAATTTGATAGATCAATAAAACTCACCTGGAAGATGTGGCTGGACACATTAAAGTAATAGACTGGGTGTCGAGTTGGTACAACAAACTCTGTCAACATATTAGCAGGAAGTTGAAATTAGACGAAGGCAGTCCAACTATAGTTTGACTGCCTTCGTCTAATTTCAACTTCCTGCTAATATGTATGCTACTCTATGATTCTATTGAATGCCGATTCATTCTAAATCTTGTTTCCGCAGTGATCGTGATGCCTATACCACCACAGGCGTTTCTGCCATTTCCTTCTCGCATGCCAACTCAAGCTCCATGGTCAGCAAATTTTCTTACTGCTCACGATACATTGTCAGACATCTACCGACGGGCCTATTGTATTCTGCATCAAGAGGACGCCGACCCCCTTCAACTTACGTTTCACTTAGAGGCTGTATCTGGAGACACTATACCCCTGCTCCAAGCACTTGCACATGACCCACAGGGGCATGATATGCATGATTGGCTGACTTGTGCAGCAACCTCGCTAGGAGATCTCTCTGTTCAATTGTTGTCATTTCGACACAATACTTGAAATTCGTGAGTCGTATTATCTCATTTTGAATGATTGTTGACTATGCGTGAATCCCAGAATGGACACCAACATTGCATTTCCAGAACAAGTGTCATTGCTGCATACAGGTCGTCCAGGTCGTCCAAAAAAATCCATTGACCTTGTGTTCCTTTCCGAAGCGGTCTCGAATTCACGTCAAATTAGGCTTATGAAACTTGCCAAAATGCTAGGAGTCCACAGGAACACGCTGCGACTCTATATGAAGCACCACAGTGTTGAAAGAAAGTACTCCGATCTTACCAATACTGATCTTGATCTCCTCATCAAGGAGTTCAAGAAAAAGTGACCCGATTCAGGTATCCAGTACATCATTGGGTATCTTCGCAGACATGGTCTCCGGGTGCAACATCGACGAGTAGTAGAGTCACTTCGCAGGGTTGATGGCTTAGGCCAAGTCCTGCGAGATCGACAGGTCAAACATCGACAGAAATACCATGTGAAGCGCCCCAATGCATTATGGCATGTAGATGGCCACCATAAGTTAATTTGATGGGGGATCGTGATTCATGGGTTCATTGACGGGTTTTGTAGAATGGTGCGATGTGTTTTTTTAACACATTTGCGTTGATTACTGACTCTAATTTATATGTCTATTAGATAACGGGACTTCGAGCAAGTAACAACAATCGCTCCAGCACAGTTTTGGAACTGTTCATTCACGCAATGCAAAACTTTGGAACACCTTCTCGTGTGCGAGGAGATCGTGGAGGAGAGAATCTCAATGTTGCAACGTATATGATAATGCAAAATGGACCACGTCGTGCGTCCTTCATGTGGGGATCGTGAGTCGTAATGTGTTTGTTCTGCAGCTTTATGTTAGGTACCAATTCTGGACAAGCCCTACACGGAATTTGTGGATTGAGCATCTATGGGTTGAAGTTGGCACGCAGTTCGCTAGGAGGTGGAGAGCATTTTTTACTCGACTTGAAAACCATCACAGGCTCAACCCTCACAGCCCTAGTCATATCTGGTTGCTCCAGACTCTGTTCCTTGATGAAATCAATCAAGATTGTTCGGATTTCTGGGCGGAATGGAACTGTCATCCGATACATGGTCCTGACACCAATGATAAGAGCCCTAAGGTAAATGCGTCATTTTATATTTATGTGACACTGACAAATTATCTCATTGTGACCCAGGATTTACGTTTTTTTAGGTCAAATCCAGTTCGGCATGTATCGTGATGACTGCGAAGGGGTCCACCCTGACGTGATTGAAGAACACTATGGGGTACATGGCCCTACTATGACTCGACGATGTAGTAGTGTGCACGTGCCTCAGGAGCACTTCCGGTTTGGGGAGTCAGCGGGTTTGGCCAGTTCAGAGCCTTTAGAAGGCACTTAAGAGTAGCACCACTTGTAGAGTAGCTTTTAGGTTTTTCACATCTTGTTCAGACCAAGTGTTGAGGCTGTGCCTCTCCACCTGGTGACTAGAGCGACCATTCACCATGGCCATTACTTTAGACAACCTCTGTTGCATTCGAAACATCCAACATACAAAAAGCCCACCAGTGCTTAGGCGTGTGGCTTCAGACGAAAATTTTCCCCACCTTCCGCTCCACCCAAATTCTTCTGTGACCTTGGCATTTCAACGCCTAAGAAGCTTGCACACTGCGACTCGCAAAATCTACGATTCATTCAACAAAGAGCAGCTCTAAGCAGAGCGGTCCCATCTCTTTTGCAGCAACCACAAGTCATATTAGTCCCAACCTCACCACCAGCTATGGCAACTAGCACTTCGACGATAACTCCGCAACCAAGCTTCCACGGAGATTACGAAAAAGACGAAGAACCCACGGACTGGCTTAGAAAATATCAACTATCGTTACCGGCATCATACTCAGACAAGGACAAGATCGACCATTTCGAACTTCAATGCACTGCAGCTAGTCCTGCCGAAGAATGGTTCGTAAACTTACCAGTGTCGGACAAGTCGACCTGGGCAACGTTTCTAGCAGCCTTCAAGACACGTTGGCCCCCACCAGTACACGCAAAACTTACGGCAGCGCAGAAGAAAGAACACCTCAAATCGATAATCCTTAAGGAAGAAGACATTGGAGTGATGATCGAGAAGGACAGAGGGAGAGACTGGGGTCATGTGAAGTGGGCCAAGCAGGTCGCGCAGATGGCGTTGGGGTTTGGAGACGTGCAATGTCATTTTTTGGATGTAGTGTTGGAAAACACACCAGAAGTCTTGCGAGATTTCCTCGCGGATCAGTACACTACATGGGCAGAGTTCGAGGTGGACGTCGCCAAAATGTCAGCGTCTCAGCTCATACGAGCTAAACAATGGATGGTAAATGAACGGAAACTCAGAGAGGATGTCGACAGATTGCAGTTGACGACAGGCCGTAAACAAACAGGGCCAATGCCCCAACCCACGCAGTCCATGTTCACTTTACCCCCCGCATATCGACCTCGTTATATGGCTAACACAGAAAACCAAGCCCAGGTAGCACCGCAAAACTTGCAACCCACACAACCACCCCCACCTATAACACCTGCACAAATCCCTCAGACGCCACAGAATCCATTCACCACGACAACGCCGTTGCCCAGAACCAACCTATTCTACGGATATAGAGGAGGATTCCCCCAAACGCCATTGAGAGGAAGAGGAGCCTTGGGGGCTGATTGTATGCAAGCTGCAGCACAGTTTGCGGTGCTGATGCATCACCCAGATTCAGAGGCAGGAAGGCAGGCGTATAGTCAGCAAGTACAAGATTGGCATGCGCAGCATGGACAAGAAGCCACCCCCAACACCACGAAGCCGTACCCGTTAAAACTGGGAATGTCACCTCTTGGCTCGAGAGAATGTTTCAACTGTGGGCTGGCAACGACGCCAAGCCATCAAGCGCATGAGTGCCAGAATACGGCAGTTCCTCAGCAGGAAGGACGCTGGAGGGAAATGGTGTCCCATCTAGTAACACGCTCACTCGCACCTCCACAGACCCCATCAAGTGTTCAGTTCGTAACACCCACGCAAAATCAGATGCAGCACCAGTTCTACCCATCCTATTTCGCACAAGGACCTTGGCCCGCCTATGATCAGTTCGACCCATCGGGAAACGGGTACGGACCGCAACAGTAGGGGACTTCCCTGTGGTCCACATCGAGAACCAAGCATCAAACATCTCGCCCAAGTCTGACGACCAGCAGATGTCTTGCGAAGTCCCCGTGTCCCCAAATCTCTCTGAACAATCATCCAGCCTACCATCCACAGTACCATTGTCAGCCTGGCCCTCCAGCCTTGGTTCGTCCCTCATCAATACACCAGAAGCATCTCCACCAGCGGAACTGGTGATGGAAAACGCCAACGATGAATTGGAAGATGATGACTTGGTCGTTCCCATGTTAGAAATCACTTCACCGGCCAGTACTTTGCCTTTACTTGACTCACCTTCTATTATTTCTCTTCCTGATTCTTCCGATAATGTTTTTTCATCTGATGACTTACTCGATTCTATGTTGGACTCTGATACATCAACGCTCCCCTTCTCCGTACTTGACGACGTGGATACAACACCAAACGTAGATTCTGTTACGAACACTAACATTACGCTGAGTGACATGTCTATTCCAGAGTCAATAGACACCACTGACTCCTACCCAAGTGTGACTAAGTTAAATGTGATTGACTTACATGCAATCTCGGAGGACGTTGAGGATGCTACGGAAAGCACGCCGTTCACGACACAAGTCATCTTGTACGGACCAGGAGGGAAAATGTCATATTTCCAGGCGAACGTAGATGATGGAGCCATGGTAAACATTATGGACCTTAAAACTTTCAGGGAAGCGAGCCGCAACCTTAAGAAGCCAATTAGATCAAATAGAAGCCTTTGCATGGCCAACGGATCAATTGTGCTGTCTCAAGGAGTATGGCAAGGAATGTTCCAATGGAACAAAGTCAAAATCCGCACTTCCTTCGAAATATTCGATAGTGGCGGAGTTTGGTCGATGTTGATCGGTAAGCCACTGCTCGAACAGCTGGGAGCAATCCACGATTACACCCAAGATGCCATCATCATCCCGCATCACCCCACACCTGTCATCATACGCAACATCCATGGAACGACAGCAGCTCCGATCCTGAAAAAGTCGAAACTAACTGTAAATAACGCAGCTTCAACAGCACAGAAACCAGTACATAGTAACATTGACCATTCTCATTTAGACTTAATTCTTGTCATTTCTATACCACCAGATACCAATACTAATTCCACTTCACAGAAAAATCTCAAAAGACCAATCACAACGACGGAACATTATGTATTCAAGATCGATCCTCAAGTAGCAAAAGACCAGCTAGAAGACCATTCGAAATGCCTCGCACAAGCCGGAGCACACGTGGTGCAAGCAGATCAACGACCAGTCATCTCAGTAGTAACCAAACAGTCGCCGCCATCACCATGCTCACCCGCTTCATTCACAGCAGTAGACATAGAGAATGAAAATGACGCCAGCACACCAGCATGGCCGATTTTCAGTCAAACCGAAGACACCGAAGATGTCAATATAGGAGAAGTACCCGAGTTTCTGACAACCGAAGCTGCACCCAGCATCTACTCAAGACACACCAATCTGTTCAATCCAGCACGTGTAGCAGAAATCATGTGAGTAATAAAGATAGGCGATGATCTCTCACCAAATCAGAAGATGCAGGTACGTGATCTCTGTGAGGAATTTGCTGACACATTTGCTCTCAGCGTCAGCGAGGTCTATCCGGTCGACTTCAAAATGTTCAAGCTACATTTCCCAGAAGGAACCAAATTCAAGACCAAAGTTAACCAGCGACCATTAACACCGCCTCAAAGGGAGTTCCTGTACGAGCGCCTCAATGAACTAGAGAAGGCAGGCATCATCCAAAGAATCGAACCAGAGGACGTCAGGGCAGCAAGTCCGACAGTACTAGCCCAAAAGGCTCATGGCTCAGAAGGACTACTGATAGAAGAACTCCTACATTGGATCAACGAACAATGCAGTGCCCACGGACTACCAACGCGAGACAATCTCCTGCCACGTCCCCCACTCGATAACAACGCTAAGGTCAAGAAATCGACCTCAAAGTGGCAGATATGCCAAAACTTCTCAGAGGTAAATCGAGCCAGTCAAGTCCCACCTGTTCCGCAAGGAGACATACGGACTAAACAGCAACGGCTGAGTGGGCACAGGTGGATAAGTATCATAGACTTCACAGCCGGATTTTACGCTATTCCAGTCGATCCAGACTCTCAACCTTACCTAGTGTTCTACACGGAAGGCTGAGGGTATGACTGCTATTGTCGTATGCCTTTCAGACTGACAGGAGCACCGACAAATTTCGGAGACATGGCTGCTATCACCCTCTGCGACTTAATTGGTTTGCTCTTCGAATTGTATGTTGACGACACCGGAATGGCAGGAGATGTTTTCGAAGAAAAACTATCACGCCTACGAACATTTTTCGAGCGTGTACAAGACATGCGCCTGTCACTATCTCCCTCAAAGACACAACTGTTTATGACAGAAGTTATTTTTGCAGGAGCACGAGTAGGACGTGAAGGTATCAAACCCGACTTAACCAAAATTTCAGCAGTAGTAGACTGGGCAGTCCCCAACACCGTTCACGATCTGATGCAATTTCTAGGTTTAACAGGGTATTTCAGATCGTTGTTGAAGGACTATGCAAGATGAGCAGCCCCATTAACGGACTTAATTAGGAAGCTGGGCACCCCTCCTGGAGGCCAACATGTCGGTAGGTACAAGTACAGACAACACTTACATCATACACAGCTACAACCGCACTGGGGACCTCGTCACACAGAAGTGTTTATGGACCTCAAGAAGGCACTAGTGTCAGAACCAGTACTCAAGGGACCAAGATTCGATGGGACACCGTTCATCGTGACCACGGACGGGTCTCAAGATGGATTTGGCGCCGTACTGGCCCAGAAACACACCTCCACCCTAATGCCAGGGAAAGTAGTCACCTCCATTCACCCAATAGCATATGCATCAAAACGCACATCACCTACTGAAGAGAAGTATAAGCCATTTATACTCGAGTTCGCTGCACTGAAGTACACTCTAGATCAATTTTCAGACAATATCTGGGGCGCACTGGTGGAAATCGAAACAGATTGCCAAGCCCTACGGGACACGCTACTCAGTCCGAAAATTAGCATGGTACACGCGCGTTGGAGGGATGGAATCCTTGCATATCATATAACTGATGTTCGACACCAAGCAGGAACATCAAACACAGCGGCTGACAGACTGAGTTGCGGATTCATGACAAGGGAACGAATCGAAGGAGATGGCAGCGGATGGACGGTTAGTAAAGATTGGGAAGAAGCACGAGGAATCACGCAAGATTTATTTGCAGTAGGATCTAGTACTCAAGTATCAACCACAAATGTGGACGCCTTACGATCACGCTTTGCTAACGAACCTTTGTTTTTAGAAATTGTCGACGCGATTCAGGACTTAGACTCAGAGAAGACAGTCAAGGAGAAAAGGTGTGCTCATCATCGAGCACAACACTTCTTCATCTCCGAGGGTAAACTTTGGCGGGTACCCAACGACTTGTCAACTCGAGTACACGGCAAGTTAGAATGCGTAACGCAGGAGGAAGCTATGGAACTGGCAAGGATAGAGCACTCAACGAAAGGGCATTGGGGGAGAGACTTAGTGAAGCTACAGCTGATTGATCACATATACAGCCCTCGATTGGACCGATCTGTAAGCACCGCCATCGTAGATTGTGCACAGTGCAAGGGATTCGGCGCAGCACACATCAACTCTCTCCTCGAACCTATTGTACGAAGACACCCGTTCGAGCTATTCGTTGCGGACTACTTAGCCATGCCCAGAGCAAAGGGAGGATTTCACAATGTTCTTCTCATCATTGATACGTACTCACAATATGTTTGGGGATTCAAACTCAAGGTACACGGCACTGCAAAGACAACGTTGGCAGGACTCGAGAAAATACGACACGACTTCAGACAACCGGAGGTATTGATGACAGACGGAGGAAAGCATTTCGATAACACAGATGTGAAGACATGGTGTGACGCACATGAAGTCAAAAGACATGTCACAGCAGCCTATGCTCCGTGGGTCAATGGGCTCGTAGAAGGCACCAACAAGATCTTATTGGCGTGGTGACCTGCACCAAACTGGTTCGGTGCATGGATGACTAATGCTCTCCCATGAGCCTAATACCCTAGAAATCACTACAAAACCATTTCCCTCTATTCTAAAGCCAGAATGCAGCTCAGACAAATATCTCATTTCATCTTTTCAATGGAACTCGGACAGGCTGAATATTTTTGTATATTTAATTCTGCGATGAATTTTGCTTAGTCATCCTCAACAATGACTCAGGCTGAATCCCACACATGCCAGGTGACTGTGAAAAATAGTTCTCGCATGGGTTACCCTGGGAAAACTTCCTCAAAACCCTAAATACTTGCCTCGTGTCATTTTCTCATTCAACAAAGTGACATCAGAACGGAACACCAATGATCATGAATATTTCTCTTGCAGTGCACAATCAGCCTGTCACATGACCCTTCAGTCACATGATGCTAAATCACATGATCTTAAGTCAGGTGATTTTTGATCCAAATAAAGTGATGACAGAACACTCAGCCCAAGCATGCTGACTAATGCTGACTAATTATGGTCTCATTTGATGCAACATAAGCAACCCCTGCAAAATGATTTTTGGTACTGCTGACTAAGCTCACCTCTCATAGATGGCGGGAAAATGTAGCACAGCCACCCTTTTTTTTGTATATAAGACCCAAATTTTTGCCCAAAGAAGAGAGCTTTTTAGCCCCACTTTCAGAATAAAATTGTGTGTGAAGTGTGATCATTGTCAACAACAGTGACCAGGGCTGTCAAGTACCTTCAGCAAAGTCATTGTAACCAGTAGTCAGCCAGCAACTTTCAGTAACCAGCAAGCCCCTAAGCTCATCAGCATCAGCATTCAGCAACACCCTTAGCTCATCACCACCAACGACGACCAAGACCTTGAGCTCACTGTGCTCAACGACCAACAGAACTTTTTTTTATTTTTTTTCTTCTTTGATTTTCTAGTTTTCTTCTTTCTCTTTTTCTCTTTTCTCTCTCTTTCTTTCTTTGTCTTTCTTTTCTGTCACTCTTTTGTTTTAGTTTTTCTTTTTGTTTTTTTTTTTTTTTTTTTTTTTGTTCTTTCTCTCTTTCTCTCTTTCTCTCTTTCTCTCTTTCTCTCTTTTCTCTCTCTCTGTGATCCTCTCTCTTTCTTCTCTTTCAAGTTTCAGTGCTAAGCTTTCATTCATATTTTCAGAAGCTTTTGTGTTGTCTCTTTCGTCCATCTAGACTCCGAATAGTTTAGTGGGGAGACTTTAGGGATTGACAGTAACACTTGACCTCACTCATCTGAGTAGTGATACTGAGCCAGGATCTTCCTTGTCTGCTAGACTTTAGTTGTTGAATAGGGGACTTGGTACTGAAACCAAGGACGTCTGTTCCTGATTCTGTTTAATACTCATCGTGAGTTCCTTGGCAGCAGGTTCAACAGTGAGCTAAGAGTTCTACTGAGCATTGATTAGTCTTGACCTTTGATTCTACCTGTTTGTGCTGAGGGGGTTGATTGCTGTAATTCCACACAACTCTTTCGAGATACGATTGTTACAAGGCATTGTTGTTGAAGGAAGGTTTGAAGAGGTGTCTTTTTTTCTTTGTTTCTTTTTGTCATCACCATACCGTTGGAGTGATTTCATTTCAGTTTCATTTTTGTTGGATTGACTGCATTGTTGCTGACCTTACAGAAGTACTGTGGTCTGACATAGCTTGGGAAGTGTAAACAGCCACCCACGAACGACCACGTTATCAGCCATTGGTATTTGTCTGAATCGCTGACTGTGGAGATATTTGTTTTTATAGGTGTTTATCTATAGATCATCTATCTAAGAAGACAGCGGCTCAAGTACATGTGTGCCCCCCAGTTGGGAGAAGATAACTACGTCGACATTGACCCGCAGACCATACCTGCGGCCTGGTCTGACCATTTTGACCAGGCCATTGAACATCTCAATGGGAGGGTCCTACCAGCCTACCAATTCTCGCCAAGAGAACTCCTACTTGGCCTAGTCGTCGACACGCCACGCACACCTCTTCCAGCCACTTCTAACCAACTCTCCATGGCAGACGTACACGTCCACTCTGCGTATGTAGCGCAACAACAGTTAGACGCCTTGGCCAACCGCGTTGCAGATTCGCTCAAACATAAAGCAGCATTTGACAAACGAGTTCTCGCATCGCCAACAGGACATGTTGTCTTTCACCCAGGCCAACTCGTACAAGTATATGCGAGCGACGTTGACAGTAACTACAAGTCATCAAGAAAGATCATACCACGTTGGTCCGCCCCTCGCCGAGTAACCTCTCAGCGAACAAATTCATACGCACTAGAAACTCTCGAAGGATTTCCAATGGCGGGGTGGTTCCACGCAAGAAGACTTAGACTGTTCCTGCCGCGCACGGGCACACTGCTAGACAAGATGGAGAAAGAAAGCGAGGGAAACGAGACACAAAGAGAAGAGGAAGAAGCTGGAACAAAGGAATTGATGTAAAAAGACAGAGAGGACGAGAAGCGGAAGAGCGAGAAAGATACGGCCAAATACGCAGATTTTTTTCTTTTATTTTCCTTTCTCCTTGGGCGACACAACTCCGAGGACGTCACATTTTTGTGGGGGGTATTTGTAGTAGGGTGCACGTGCCTCAGGAGCACGTCTGGTTTGGGGAGTCAGCGGGTTTGGCCGGTTCGGAGCCTTTAGAAGGCACTTAAGAGTAGCACCGCTTGGAGAGTAGCTTTTAGGTTTTTCACATCTTGTTCAGACCAAGTGTCGAGGCTGTGCCTCTCCAACGACAACATCAGAGTGGAGTAGGGCATCCAATTGATGAAGAAGAAAGTGATAATGAAGAGGAGCCTCTAACTATGGTACAGGCTATCAACGATCAACAACGACACCATATCCACCACAACACTATCAGTGTTCCATTGCAAATCAGTCCTTTCGTCAATGACAAAACACACTGGCAATTCTCTGCCACCCTTATCGAAGTCATAGCTGAGGATATAACACCGTGCGACTGCAGGCTAGCAGGAAATGAGTGGGAAGGCGACGAGTATCCAATCTTCGAGGCTATCCCTGTTGGCCGACGAGGGTCGAAAGAACTACACGTGTCTCTCGCCAAACCAAGCTGGTTCAACCGGGCGAGGCTATGGTGTCAGGCCTTACTAGTGTTGTCATACTTTTTAGTGGCTGGGCAAGAGTAACTTAAACTTACAAGAGTCGTAGTAGTTATTACTCTTGAAATACTTACTTGGACAATACGTCAACCAGAAGGCAGGCAGAATGTCATAAGTTTCAAATTGTAAATATAAACCGCACTATCTAGTACCTGTTGACTATCCTCTTCAAGTCCGAGTCGTTTCCATCTTTTGTCTCCTCTTCCGTGTGAAGTCTTTCTCCACCTTCTCCCACTAGTACTATTGCTCTGCATGGATTCCGAGAGCAATGCTATGGACCAGGAGCACTTCTGTAGAGGTTCCAAATCTGACAGTCAAGTGTGCGATTGCGAAGAATTCTTTGCTTGGTCACAGGATGAAGGCCACTGCGTGGAGTGTGGTCATGGTCGCAGCAAACACCCTCGCAAGGCATCGACTCGGAGTGGCAAACCACTGGAAGTTCAAGAGGATGAACAGCCTCACCGACTTGGAAATACCTCAGCTGTCATCAAGGATATTTTTGACCGAATTGCTAGTGGTGGCAAAAGTGTCAACGAGAAGTTGTCCACCACCAAGCGACTCACTGAAGCCGGTGTACCACTCACCAATGCCCGAGAGGAAGCCTTATCGACTCTTTCTTCTACCCGACTTGCTGGTTACAGTAAGCTGGCTAAGGGCCCAGTGTCATTGGGCTTGCGAAAGGTATGGGATCATCGGCTAGTGCATGAAGATTAGTTTACATCAATACTGAAGTTGCTTCTAGGATCGCAAGGATACTATGAGTAGCTCACTGCAACCTAGTAAAATTGGAAGCCAAGCACGCAGGAGCACTATGTCTAACCTTTCCACAACCGGAGCTAACACTTTTCGTGTCACATCAATTGCTCTATTGACTTGCGGTGTCAATGTTAGTCAAAGACAATCAATAGTCTACTAAACCCACTAATTCATAGCATTTTCCAGAGAAACGGTCTCATCAGAGTGCCTAAGGCCCCAACCAAGAATGGCCAGAATGAAATCCAGGCTATGAAGAACCGGGGTTGTTACCTTGACCAGCCTGAGCAATTTATCATTGATAGCGGATGGTCCTACCACAAGATCACCAGCCAGTTATGAAGCTGGTTTCCTAAGGTATTCGATTTTCTGGATATCCCAGTTGAGAAGCGACCATCAGCGCCATCACGATCATTAGCACGGCCGACACAAGACGAAAAGCCTATTTGGCGACTCCTTAACAAGAGTGGACAGACATTAACGGTTGTCGATGTTGCATTTCCGACTGGGACTGACCTAATGAAACACAAGGGCCGAGATAAAGCAAGTGTCAGCGAGTGTCACCTGTGGTTTGGTGTGTTCCTGTTTCTTTCTCGTACTACTCGCTGCATGTTACCCTAACAATTCCATCAGTCACACGGAACCGGATTCCAGACAACATTTATGAATCTTGGAACACTCAACCAGTCATAGCTGGTTCGTATTCCGAACACAATGATTGCAGTGATGTGCTTTTGTCTGACGTGGACAGTCTCAATGATTCGTTTATCTCCAAGTCGGACAATGAGCTTGTGAGTTCTTTGATGGAACTGGAGTTGACTGATGCTGAAGTCGAGGATCCCAAAGGCAAAGGAAAAATGAAGGTTGTATCGCCAAAGAGAACTAACAGTGAGTTTTCGGTGTTGGCCTTGATGTGTGTACTCATCCATTCCAACAGTGAAACGAACTCGCACAGTTCTTTCCCCTGAGCAATCGCCATCGGAGGTTCAGAGAGCAATTTGAAAGAAAAGTAAAGTTAAACAGGGTAGAGTTTTTCCTTCCGTTATGTTTTTTATTATTATTCAATCCTTTACTACATACTCAACAGAATCAGCTAATGATGTTGAAGCTGCCGTTCACTTGTTTTTTTACGGAATCTGGGCCATCGACAGGCTCTCAGCCATTTCTGTTGACTCAACTTGCTCAGTCCAATAGCCTCAGTGAGTTTTCCATTTGTGCTACTTGTTTAAAATTTAACCTGTGCTGTTGTTGCCAGAAATGGTGTTGTTCCGTAGCAGTCCACTTGGAGTGCCAGCTGGTACTGCCATTTAATTCCTAAAGTCGAAGAGTGCATTATCATCCCCACCCGAATTCGTGTCAGTCAGTGAGGCGGATGTCTTGTGGCGCAGTTGATCCCACATTGACGACCCTTTTGCACCGGAGCAGATCAATCCCTGGGATTCTCGCTATTCCATGAAGCCTGCTAACCTCCAGCTCATGTGAGGAGGGTCGGTTACCATTTCCCAAACAATTTTTGACAAGTGACCAGGTCTAGTATTTGTTGATGACAGGCATGCTAATTTGGTACTAGTTTTTGTCATTTCTTGTGCATTGCAGTACATACCACTATCTCATCCTCATCCTCATCTCATTCCGTACTTATACCTTGCATCCTCGCAATGCCTCACCTAATGATGTCATGCAGGAGTCACGTACATGATTTACTTCACACTCTTTGAATGCAAACATTGACGACTAAGTATGAAGGACGCGTTGTCTCACTCATTTTGTGGGTCCATCAAAACAGTATGTATTTGAAGAAAAAAAACTATAATACTGCATGAGCCGCTGTAGAAACAACAATACTACGAGGAACAAAAGAGGCTCCTAGCTGTATCTATAAAAATGTTGTAGGTCGAGTGTTGCCTAGTCTGCGTTACTTGAGGAGACAAGTGCATTCGACCCTAAAGGGGAAGTGAGTGCAGCAAAGATCTAGAGGTATGCGCTGAAGCACAGTGCGAGAAAGTGCAGGTGCGCGCAAGGCGCGGGAACACGCGCGCGTATTAGCGCGAAGCATGGGAAAGCGCGCGCGCGTATGCGGAAATGATAGAGACTAAGCTTAAGTGATGATATAATGCAAGATAAGAGATGTGAGTGCGAGATGTAAAGGAATTGAGTTCTACTGCGACTTTCTAGGTAGTAAGTACTAGGTAAAGTGAGAGGTGAAGTGCAAAAGTAAAGTAAAGTGAAAAGTAGGAAAAGTTAGTTGAAAAAAAGTTCCTAATAGTATGTACTGCTGGCGCTTATATAGGACGCCTAAGCGCAGTCATGTGGAGCCGAAGCGCTACCGAGTAGGTATGTAAGATATATATAAGTAAGGGTCCATTATAAAAATAGAGGTGGAATGATATGCTAATAAAAGAAATGGAAATATACGCACTAGAGAATATGGTGGACAGTGGATGGATGCATCTGGATGGCTGGCGCTATAGGGCGCTCAAGCGCGGGAATGCGCGCGCGCGTATACATCGTGAAGCGCGGGAATGGTGCGCGTTGCGCGGGAAAGTTGCGCCTCGTATAGGGATAGCTGCGGGTAGCGCACGGAGTGACACTACAAATTCGTGCTATGTACTCCTTGGTGGGAACTGCCATATCACGCCATGAGAGGCATGATTCTCTACACCGCTAAGTTAGCTCCGCACAACTTGAATGACTCGGTTAGTAGAGACTTGAACAAGCAAACACACCAGCTCTGGATTGGTGAAAACGCGCAGTGTGGGAATGCGGAACCTCTTGATTAAAACGCGCCCACTCTGTATTGATGAAAATGTGCAGCACGCAAGCCGCGGGATGCGCAAATAATAAATGTGCAGATATAGCGCCATAAAATGCAAAGTTGTGACACCTAATTGCAACTACCTGCTGAGGTGGCATATATTACAACATCCACCTACTGTTGCAATGGAAGGTTAGGTTGTTGAGAGTGATCACTGCTGCATAGTCAAGGACTACTGGCAATACTCTATCATCCTGCCCTGCCCTGGTTACAATATATAAAGTACGTATGTGGTTGAAACACTAGCCTGTGTTGCTAATGTTTACAAAGTATACTTTTCAGGGAACGAGCGACAATACATTACCATCGTGCACAACCTCCACGAAACCCAATAGCCGTATGCACAGCTAGTCTGACATTTGATGCTCTGCCAACTCTGGAGCAAATGTTAGCATGAGATATAGTTGTATATGACTGGACTGCTTTGGACTAAAGCAGCATATGGCCTAAGAATGTGGGTATTTACAGTGTTATACCCATCAGTTTCAGCACAATCATTCCTATACAAGCGGTGCTTGCCATTATGTGCTCTCCAAGAACTCTCTTGATGCTGACATTAGATATGTGATTGAGACGTCAGACGACGTTGTCCAGACCTCTCAAGCATGCAATTCAGGAGATGAGCGGCAGTGCACCAGCATGTTGCTCAGATACGGTCACCGTATACAAACTTAGTGAGTCTTTTTTTTGCGCACCAACTCTCCTTAAAAGCCGGAGTCAGCCAAAGCCTTCCAACGTCAGTCCGTTTAGATCCGCGCTGCCTTCAGTTCCAAGGGCACCGAACAATGACAGCGTGGTGCCCTCCATCTGTCAGCTGCTGAAGACTAGTCATGGGCATGCAAGGCGAGCGAGTCAAATTGTTCTTGGCAATATCTTTCTGATTGCTGTAGTTGGACAGGGTCCCCAAATACCAGACTGCGTTGTAGATGACTATGGATGCTGCCAAGGTGCTGAACATTGATAATGCGGTCTCTTCCCTCATCATGTAGTTGATGTGTGATCATTGTATGTGATGGAAGCTTGATATTTTCAACTTCCTACCATGAGCAGGATGTTAGCTGTAGGTTTTCTTTGTAGGGCCTGCACATCATTTTACAGTGGAACTTCAGCGCCTGGCATTATATTAGGATATTATCTACTACATAAAGACTTGAATGAATGCTAAGAATGGACTACATTTGGACCTGAAGTTTGTTTCAAGGCAAGGCATTTTTGCCAGATCTTCAATAACGCACTGCTGGCAGTGATAGGCCGCTTGGCAGCAGAAGAGGTGGGAAAGACCTGGCTGAGCACATCATCAGACATTTGGCTCCAGTATGACAAAGCTTTAGCTAGCTTTATCTAATGTATAATATCAATAATATGTATCACAATTGTAGACCACATGACAAAGGAATAGATAGGTAGACTACATAGGTAGAATCTGCCAAAGCTATAATATTGATGGGCCTGTGGTATCAAATTGTAATGTACTGGCACACTGATGTGTTGTTGTCAGATGTATCTACTCTTGCATGGGTTGCTTCCAATGTATAATGAGTAACATTGTGACAAATGAATGATATTGACTTGTAATGGAATATCAATCTGGTGATTTTCTACCAAGCCTATCAAGCTTTAGATAGGTAGCTTCCGACGGCCAATTGTATAATGAGTAACATTGTGACAAAGAGATGATATTGACTTGTAATAAAGTATCAATCTGGTGATTTTCTACCAAGCCTATCAAGCTTTGGATAGGTAGCTTCCAATGGCAGAAGCCACCATCAATGACACTGTGTCAGGGTGTGATATGGATTTGTCATGGTCCATCAATATGGTGATTTACTTATCAAGCATGTCTGCTGCTACAGGGGCAGCTTCCAATTACAGGGTGTATCAATCACTGACAGTATGCCCAGAGATGATATCAAGTTACCATGCCCTATTAAGATGCTGATCAAGTACCAACCATGTCTGGCTTTACATGGGCAGCCTCAGATTGCGGAAGTCACCATCCATGACAGTGTGTATGGGGGTAGCATTGGGTTATCAATAAGGACACTGAGTTGAGCTCTATCATTGGGTTGCAAAACCCTATCAAGATGACAGTCTTCAACTACCCTGACATTTGCAGTTTATGATGGCGCAAGACACCATCTATGACAGTGTGTCAGGGGATGACATTGAGTTATCATATCCTATCAAGTTGATTACGATGGCAGGAGCCACCATCCACAACACTTAGCTGAACACTGGCATTGGGTTATGAGGTCCTAGCAAGATGCTGGTATTCGGCCGAGGATGTCTACTATTACATTCACAGCTTCTGTTGCAGAGGAAACTACCATCTGGATCGAGATTTCACATTTTGTTCGTAATTATAGCTTCGCGTAGGGAAACCACATCAATTGTATTAGGATATAGTACAGCTACGAAAATATACGAATTAATTGGTACCAGCAGGAGGCCCGTTCTCACAAGGCAGCAGCAGTTTTTCCCGAATCTTTGACAGCGCACTATTTTTGCTGATACTGCGCAGCGAAGAAGAAGAATTAGGAAAAATGCGACTATGTAAGGTGTTAACTCAGATAGCTTCAAGTTGATGAGATAAATCACAAACCGAGTCCACCATGTCATAAGGTCAGCCACCTCTTCACTCTCATCAGGATCCTCCAACAAGTCAAGAATGCTATGGTAAAATTTTCGGAGTCCGTGACTGTGTCGGTACTGCGAAAATACCGACGAAGAGCTTAACGAGAAGCGTACCTAAAGGAACATCAGCGAGAGAAAGCATGTACAAATCAAATGTGCGTGCCTGCGTAGCAATATAAGCTAAGGATCCTTGAGTCACACATTTCATACCATGAAGATAAGCGTTGCCGGAGCGCGTGGCCTTTGGCTCCTTATCTACCGAGCTTGGAGACGTAAAGACATGTTTGTAACCCTAGAAAGAACTTGGACTGAGAACTTCATCGTTAATAAAACAAGCACAAGCTCACAAAGATGAGTATCTCGCTGCGCAGTAACCCCTTCCACGGATCTTCAGAATCATACTCATACCCGGCATATAAGAATACGGGCCACTGGTCACCACTAACCGCAGTTTTCGCCGCTCTTCAGGCCCTGTTTAGTTCTGTGAAGGGTATGAGGTTAAGTTAATGTGAAGCTGGAAAGACTTACTCTATGTTGGACCAATCAAGGCCTGCAGGGCAAAGCAACGCGCCGGTGACTTCATGATTGAACCCGCGGTCAGACTTAATGTTCCGGGAGAGGGGTGGTATGACTACCTGTCCTCTGGGTACAATCCATTCGAGTACGGCAGATTTGAGGGTCTTGGTATCATCGCCTCGTGCACCAGAGGCTCCTTTACCTAGCTGCAGACTGATGAGTACAACCATCTTTTTTTTAAAAAGAAAGAACAAACCAGTTCTCCCACATGAATGATATCTTCTTCCTCACCCTTCATCAGACGGTCTAACAGACCCAGATACGAATCTATTAGATTCATGAACACCCTATGTTCCCAGTCGAACACTGCCAAAGATCGACATCAGCATTTTTTCATTTCCTGGCCATGCAATTGTCAGAATTGTACTCACTCAGCTGGGTAATCCTCAATGTGAGAGTCCTGCAGTTCTTCAAGTCGAGGTATGCCAGCAGTCAGAAGAGCAGGATAGTTGCACAGAGAAAACACTGTGCGGCCAAAATGTCGGCCATGAAGGACAAGTGGGTTTGATGAAGCCCTGGTGAAAGTGGCAGGTCAAGAAAGTAGTAGTTCGCCTCTAAGAGTGAGACTTACGCCTTTTTACGCGGGCCTGTATGAAGGGCTGAAGCACTACGCTTGCGCGAACGATCAGCGGAAGAGGGATTATTCTCATTGCTGCTCATAAAACCGAACTGGGGGTCTAATACCAGGTACTAAATGAGGTACTTTATATGTTTGAATGTCCAATCACATGTGATGAAAAAATCTTGCCATCCGAGCACCATAGATATCGTAATTATATATAAGAAAAAGCCCGCCCATCCGAGCGCCATAGATATTGTTACGCACTCAAATAGATCTGTTATGCGGAGCCCTAAGAGGGGCATCATCTGCTAACGTTCGTGACGTAACCAGAAGGGTCCGGTGTAGCGACTGAGACTGGCGACGACGAGTCAGCAGATATCAGAGATGCGCGTGTCACGTGACTTCTAAGACGGATGTCTTCGAAGTTACTGACATTCTCAAGGTAAGGACAGTCTTGTCCAAACGATGAGTAGTCGATCGAGGTAGACTTAGGCGCGATGAGCACCTAAGAAAAGATACTAGAGACTGAAGCTGAGGGGGCTTCAGAGGGAAGTATGTTCCAGGGAAGATTGAGTAGATTCAAGTTAGGGAATCTAGTACAGGGTGACCGACTACTTATACTAAGTGGAAAGGGTTAAGGGCAAGGCTACTGTACTGTGGGTAAGGGCAAAGGGGAAACGGAAAGGGTATAGGTACGCTGGTGGCAGAGCCTGATTAGTGATGTGAGGTCGAATGCGGAATGAGACCGAGAAATGTTGGAACGAGCCAACGGTAAATGATACAATGCGCAGCACGCATGAGTCAGAGGAAAGATAAGACAAGATAAGGGAAGCTACATTGGTGGCACGAGTCAGAATGAGTCATAGCCTGAGGGCACGTGCGCACGTTGGTGCGATGAGAGGGGGACGAGGGATGGGAACGGTCCCAAGGATCCGGTCGATTGATAGTCAGTAGAGAAGTACGAGCCGGAGGCATACGAGGGCAAGGATGAAGGGGAAAAATGATAGGGGGGCCATGTAGCCGATGTTACTTGTAACAGATATCATAATTAGATGCAAGAAAAAGCCTACTCATCCAGGCGCCATAGGTATCGTAATTATCCAAAAATTAACAGCCTCTCTTACCGAGCACCATAGGTGTCATAACGAAGGTGTGTCATCATTGCAAGCAGATATAAGCCTGCGTGCACTGCAGGCAACTAGCTCATTATTTGACGCCCCATACATGTCCTACTCACCCTCTTCGAAGGGTCTGCGACCCCGCACCCACGTTGAAAGCACTTTCACACTAAAGTAAGCTTTTCAAATAATATTCCGCAACAAATGTATCAAATTACCTTCAGTTTTAAACTTTCCTTGATGCACACGCTGAGACGCTCTGATGTAGATGAGCTATACAGCACTGATTGCGAGTGAGTAATCAAGTGTTGCGGAAAACAACTCAACCAACATTACCTTCCAGGCAATTCCCTGAAATAAAGCAATTGGTCCATGCAGGAATCCAGGCTACAGGTAAGATTTAATGATTCAGACCTAAAATCGTACGTCACATCTAAAAAACATGTCCTAGGCACCTGATGGATGTAAGGACTGAACTAGAATCTGAGCTAGTGTCGCATCAAGGAACAGCTAAGCGGTGCAGAAGTCAATATTGCGTACCTTTTAGAATGGGTGAGGGTGTACAGACACAGATGGCTGGAAGAGTATCACCGTGCTGAGAACCTCGAGGTCCTTATGCCGAATACATCGAATATACCCCACCTTGATCAAATTCAAGAAGGCGCTCCTTCTCCCGGCTTCTCGCCAGAGTTTGTGTGTTTCGATAATGAAGCTCAACAAAGAGCTTGCGATGATTGAGGTGTGCCCATATGACCTTCCTGCACCATAATGTCGAAAGTAGACATTTTGGTGCGTGCTCGACCGTGCAACTATACATAGCCTACCAATATGTATTAGTGGATCGAAACAAATAGAGGTTACAAGGTTAAGAAAATTTGCTGGTGCATGACAGAATGAAAATCCTTATGGGAAAGTCAAGACTGTGACTGACGTTACTACAACCAATGTGCGCCCTTGAACGAGGAACTTGACAATTATGAAGATATCACTTACAGGATGGGGGTGCGACCGTGCGGTCATCTAATATCCAGTTTTGAATTAAAGTAGCACACTGAAAAGACTTAAGAATATGCTTACCGTGTGCGACATTGAGGGCTGAATGATACTGCCGGACGTGAAAACGACGTCGACATTTGGCAGCTATACAAACTGGAGTATCCCACTATTCATTACCAACACGAACTACTGAAGTCTGACGTCAAGACAACTTGAGTACCAAAGTACAAAGTACAAAAGTCAAAGTAAGTATAGTTGATAGTATACTGTACAGTAAGGTATAACGAACACTAGAAAGAAGTTGAGTTCATGCAAGGAGCACCCTAATATAATGAACAACTATATTCAAAGTCAGCTGGCATTTGGCACCAACACTCTGACTAATCGGGTATTGCCAGCTGAGTCTGAATATATTGTCATTCATTATATCAACCTTTGACTCAGACATAATATACCTCTTTCTGTTTCCGTAGCCTAAGATATATTTAGCGCCAATGTAATTAAGTATAGTACTGTGTGGAGGTAAGCTTTGGCTGGCGGTGTATGCAGTGTAGTTAATAGTGTATGTGGCAGGTGGGAGGTCTTTCAAATGTCGGGCTTGACTTGACTATGATTAATATTTTTGCTACATCGTTGCTCGGAGCTCCACAACACCTTCAATTTTTATTGTTGCACTGTCAAACAATGTCAATAATTTGTACCCCGACTTGCCTGCCCACAACTGTCCACAACCACAGTTCGTACCACTGTATGTAGTATTAGCTAATCCAAAATAGTTGTTCACTATAAATACAGACTTCGGGCATCAACATACCCTCTTTCTCCTACCATCACCTCGAATACGACTCAAATACGATAGTCAGTAGTACTAGATAATATAGACCATACTAGAGATAACATAGTAGCCCATCAAGTAACGTAGTAGTATGTGAAAGCTTCAAAGTTCATTGTATATTTCCGAATTGATCATATCTCCTAGGCTCAGAATCATGTCAAAACACGTGGCATCCGGTGGTGATGAACTGCTCCCAAAGTGTCATTGCACACTTCAAGGTAAGTGATCTTAGTTTGATATTCTAAACATTGTCATTCATGAGCACACCATACAGGAAATCAGGTGCTGTGCAATAATAGTGCTTGGGATATACTTGAAAAATTCCTGACAACATCTATGTCATTCTCCGAGACGAACGATGCACTTGGAGCGTACCTCAGTGATCGCTACTCTGAAGATGACTGGGTGGAACCCAGATGTCTGTTGTTCTCCAGCGATGCCGACAACACCAAATCCTTGAAGAACCTTAGGGTTATCAGGAAGATGTACATACCGGACTCACCAGCAAAGTCTTTCATGGGTATACCTGCCTCAAGGGCAGTCGGCCGCTTGCCAAAGTCACAGATTCATAAGTCATGAAGATTATCGAAAGTAAGTTAAGATTTCGACTTATGTTTTAATAAACTAAACTACAAATGTAGGCCGCATACAAGTTTATCCTTCATGAGGCCAAGGAGGATGATGAAGATGAAGAGGAAGAGGAAGAGGAAGAGGTCGGTGAAGTTGGTTTGTCTGTGCGGCCGCCGAAGGCTACGCACTTTCCGGGACTGTCAGCCAAACAGAGGTTGGCCGCAACTTTCGACAATATGGTGACTCAGTTTGAACAGAATCCACAAAACTCATCTCAAGGTTTCAAAGTAGGTTTCTCTTGATTTGTGCACTAGTATATTACTTATTGTATCGTAGGAACTACTGCTGACTACATTGCGGCACACCTTCGGAAGAAAGAATTTCCGGTTACCATGTCAGCTTGGGTGGCAAGTCAGCTGTATGTGGTGGCAGACAGCCCCAAAACAATCACCAAGTCCCTGCCCACATCTCTCTGTCTTGCCGTGAAAGACTATATCCATATCACGCAAGAAGAACATGAGGCCGTCGAATGTTCACAGTTTGAATTTCCCATCCCAGCATGGGTGAGGATTAAAAAGGATAAGTACAGGGGCGACCTGGCACAAGTTTTCGAGAATCTCCCAAATGGTGCTGTCGCGGTCTTGATTGTCGCACGAGATTTTCCCTATCCTATGCCTCGAGGATCTCGAGCACTTGTCGAGCATTCTCGCCTCCCGAAAAATAAAACCATGGACGATCTACTTCATGATGACCAAGTAGTAGGATGGAAGTACAAGGGAGAATGTTACTACAAGGGGCTCCTACTGAAAACATTTCCCCGCAACCGATTAGAAATTATCGCATCCCCTCACATTGATGACATTCGGATACACCTAGATTCCGAATGGAACAAACCCTTCCTGAAGAAAACTCTGGTCGCATTCTGGAAACAGTTCTTGCGGGCGGGCGATTGTGCGAGGGTCATCGAAGGCTCCCTTCGTGGGGAGCTTGGTACGGTTATCTCTACTGACCACGCTCTTGGGATCATTGTTTTGGAATCCGCCTTCAACGGACGTCTGAAAGAGACCGAAGTCCGACTGCAGGACATAGACCGCATCTTTTGAGTTGGTGATGCTGTCAGAGTGATAGCCGGTTCATACTTAGGTCTGGAAGGAAACATAGTCCAAATGTCTGGTGATATCTTTCATGTCTGTCAAAGTGTTACAAACGAGCATGTAAGTCTTGTATGATTTATTTTTAACCGTCTAATGCTTGGTGTGCAGGTCGAAGTGTCAAAATACTACTTAGATCTGTGTCCGTTGAATCACACGCTGAATTCACACCTGCCGGCACAGCAATTTTTCGAGCCCCTCGAGTCCGACTCTATCCAAATAGGAGATTATATAGAAGTCCTGGAGGGAGAACATATGGGGAGACATGGCATCATGAATTGGTTTGCTAAGGGAGACACTTGTCTCTGGTTCCGGGATATTCTCACTGCAGACAGTACAGAGCCTGATGACACATTGGGGAGTATCTTAGTTCCAGCTGGAATTGTCCAGTGGACGGATCTCAGAAAGATGCTTCAATTCACAAAGGATAAGGGTTATGATGTCAGGCCAGGAGACATTGTGACTGTCGCCCATGGGCTGGAGCTGGCGCGAAAGGGGTCGTGCAAAGCGTAGACTTTCCAAACACTCGCTTGACCCTGCTATGTGAAGGGGACTATTTGATAGTAAGTATGATTTACCTCGATTTGAGCATCTCTAACTTGTAATAGATCACCGTTCCGATTACGTTTGTCATCAAAGTATGCAATGCTGAGTTGGATTCCTTCAAGAAGGATATCGGGCAAGAGGTTTTCATTATTGGAGGTCACCAGAAGGGCTTCAGAGCGATGCTGTACAGTCTTGGCCTGGAGACTTGCACCGTTGCTGTGCACAGTCAGCAGCGCACTACAATTAAGCTGTATGACGTTGAGCGGCACACATTTCCTCATCAACTGTGATGTTTACGGTTTTCAGGTATGGAAAGAGGCTAAATTGTGCGATGCTCGAAGGCCCAGAATTAATTTCATTCTGTGACATGTGGAAAAAATCATACTTGGCGCCACCATGTCGAAGCATCACCCCACCTCCCGAAAAAGCTCCCTCCAGCTCCTTAGCGTCCAACATAGGTCCCATACCCTCGTCATCCAGCGGATGGTCCACATGGTCCAGAAGCTCGGGTGGTCTTGATGTGACGCAAGACTCTTCATCGAGTGTCAATCCCATCTCGTCTACACACCAGGCATGGACCATTGATCAGCTCGACATTCAAGACAACAATGATGCTAGAGCAGAGAAACTCAAAGACAGCGGTAAGTTCTCAATAGGGCCATTACGATCTCTACTAACTTATCACAGGCCCACTACCTTGGTTGAGAGAGTTTTCTTCCGTTTTCCTCAAATATCACGTGATGCTGAAGGTCTCGCCGATATTTGACGCATTGCTATCTAAGCGACTTGTATCAACCACTTGTCCCGACCCTTTCTGCGGCGAGAATGGACCTGCGCCCGAGGGTTGCATCGCAGCATTTTGCACATCAAACAGTGCAGGTGCTGCAATCAAGCACTACCATATCCCTGCCATTTACCTGAGCCCTGCGCCTCCACGCAAGAAAAACCAAGAGTGCATTATTCTGAATGGGTCTCACCGAGGTCTTGTCCGACATTTAGCATCATGCAGCATCAAAAGCAGTGACATCAAGATCAATATAACACCTACGGTTACTGTCACTCTTCGTTTTGATCAAATATGTCTGTTGGAACCAACACGATAGATTTTGTATGCATATTCTGTATAATAGTATAAGTTTCCTAGATATTTCTATTATAGCTCATGCTCATGTACACTACCAAATACAAGTTTGAATAGACATGACACATAAATGAATTTGTACGCTGAAAAGCTCATAGATCCCGACCTGGGCAACAGATCAGTTCGGTTACGGTGGAAATTTGGTCCGATCCAGGGCTAGTTCACACAGGTCTAAGTATCACGTGAACATCTTGGGACGGAATTCTACGAAGTAATTATATGCTTCGGTAACCTCATAAGTAGACAAGCAGCTATGGTGTAGTGACGTAAGTGTGTCGAGCTGTTTGAAACACCGTGAATGCATGAGTTTGAAGCTTCACAGTTTCATTTTCAATTTCAGCATGATTTTCCCCCCTAACACTGCTTATATAATATGGGCTCTCAACACTCTAAATCAAACTTCTCACAGGTTTTTGGCAGTCGACAGTGTACATAGGTGGGCTGACGTGGGGTGTATTACATATACAAGTGGGCCGACGTGAAAAGTATTACATATACGGGTGGGCCGAGGGTGCAATAAAATATTTATTACATAGACAGGTGGGCCAAGGTGGAGTATAATTATATCGACGGGTGGGCCAACATAGGATGTATTACATAGATGGGTGGGCCGAGGTGGGGGATAATGCATAGATGGGTGGGCTGATGTGGGGGAATTGTACATAGATGGGTACATATATGGGTGAGCCTAGATATGTTCCATCAAGACATACAGCTGATGTAGCCACCAGCGAATCAAACATGTAGGATACATGTACACTATGAGTGCATATACCTACCGTCGACCACCAAATCTAAACCCCTAAGCACAAAAACATGAATCGACCATGTGTGGCATTGACCAATAATCGAGGACTGAAGTGGAAAAACCCCACACCTGAACCCTGGTGTGCAACATATCCTATTTATAAGCATGGACACCAGAAGCGAAACACTCACAAAAATATATATGTCAAATTTTCAGTGCCAAACCCCAAACCGAGATGTACCAACCCCTGAATCCCAAAACCCGAGACTGCCAGGTCTCAGGTTTCGGGGTTTGGGGGTCCCGGAACTCGGAACTTGGGGAACTTTGGGGAGATCAATAAAATTTGATTTACAATCAAATTGATTGACAAACACATTGACTTACCCATGTTTGAAATATATTTTGTTTACACATACCGAGTTCCGAGTTCTGGACCCCCAAACCCCGAGACCCGAGACCCGGCAGTCTCGGGGTTCGGGGGTCTGGAACTCAGAACTTGTGAAAATTTAATTTGGGGAGATCAATAAAATCTGATTTACAATTGAGTTGATTGACAAACATGTTGACTTACCCATGTTTGAAATATATTTTGTTTACACATACCAAGTTCCAAGTTCCGGACCCCCGAACCCCGAGACCCGGCAGTCTCAGGGTTTGGGGGTCCGGAACTCGGAACTCGGTATGTGTAAACAAAATATATTTCAAACATGGGTAAGTCAACGTGTTTGTCAATCAATTTGATTGTAAATCAAATTTTATTGATCTCCCCAAAGTTCCCCAAGTTCCGAGTTCCGGGACCCCCAAACCCCAAAACCCAAGACCTGGCAGTCTCGGGGTTCAGGGGTTGATACATCTCAGTTTGGGGATTGGGGGTTAGTAAAATGTTTACAGATATACATAGGTTGATTTAAACATTATCTGAGAGATGTCGTTCGTCTCAAATGTCAAATCCTGAGTTCTGAATTTTGGGACTTGGCACCCGGCACCCGGGACTCGGGGTTTGGCACTGAGAATTTGACATTTGGGTGTTCAGGTTTCAGGTGATATCTACCTCAATCTACAGTTTTGAGTTCTGGATATCAGGACTGATCATTGAATCATTCAATTGTGGCATAGGTAATATGCATTGAAAAAGATTTATGTACATCTATCACTGAGCAATTATGTAGCCATTTCAACCTCCTCACCAGGAAGATCAACCTTTCCCTCAACATCCATCTCCTCATCAGAAGAAGCATATTCTGGCAGGAGGTTACCTGGTTCATTAGGGACCACAATATCACTGGAGGATTCTGGCAAGAGGTTGCCTGGTTCATCTGGGAGCACAATTTCGCCGGAGGATTGTGGACCCTCAGGCTGAACTTGGGTGGGCTCAACCATGGGACCTACCATAGCAGATCCATGCTCAGGTGTCAAGGGTGTGGGTTCCATCACTGAAATGTTCAAATCAATGAGGTTGGAAAGTGCGGAGGGGAGGGGTGACATGGACGGGGGGACCTCCTTGATCAAGCAACATTGATGCATCGGCCGGTGTGTCCGGAAGTGAAAATGAAGGGTGCTGGTCGATCACCATGCGCCAGAGGCTCTCATGGAGGCATTGCAGGGTATCAATCTTAGTGTCCTGCTCCTGCACCCAAGCCTCAAGAATCACGATGCGAGCTGCACCATCCCGAATCGCAATTGCCATGGAATGGAGATCTGGCATGGGAACATCGAGTGCTGCACGAGGCACTGCGACACTGGAAGACCTGACTGCTAAGTAAAAAATTAGGTCGGCTGGTCATCAAGGGTTTGGGTGACTTACCAGCTGGCGCAGGTGCAGGGACAGGTGCAGGTGCAGGGACAGGTGCAGGTGCAGGTGTCTTCTTGATGGTGATGGTCTTGCTGCAACCATGTGACTGCATCTGGGGTGTAGTTGCAGCAGGGATGGCCGGAGGTTGGGACGGGCCACGAGATTGACTACGAGTTCGGGCCCTTGACCGGGAGGGAGAGGAGCATTGGATGGAGCAGGGGCAGGTGTCTTGGAACGCGTCCAGCCGGTGGTAGACTTCCCTCAGATCTGTTTGGGTGGGGATCCCAGAGATGCAGGGTTGCATTTGATCTTCTTGGTGGAGCAGCGGATGCAAGACAAGCAGGGGAGACTGGTCCTCTTGTCCAAACGAGTCGCACAGGGCCAATTCTCCTTGACACAATAATGGCAGGGGTTGTTCTGTGGTATCCGTTAGTAGATGGATGAAGGGGAATTAATTGGAGTACTCACTGGGCCGGGAATGGTGATATCAAATGTGGTATTGGCCGGCGTGTCACCATCCAAAGCATTGGAAGTATCTTCAGAGGGCTCCTCAACTTCTGGACGACTGCCGGAGGTTGCCTGACAGATTGTTAATACACATATGAGTTTCTGGAGAACTTCTAAGACTTACCCAAGCCTCCGGATGACTGATGCGAGCCTCCGGACGACTGATGGGAGATTTCTAATGTAATGGGAATGAGTGACAATTATACATGGGAGGTCCAGACAAGTCTGAACGACTCACCGTAACCTCCGGATGACTGCTGGCAGTCAGCTGTGGACACATGAGCATATATTTAAGATCCAAACGGATAAATCAGACTTACCGAAGCAGGCCCAAATGGTTGCTTCTTGAGGGAACCGGGTGACCGAGGCAACTGGGGCTTCCTTACAACAATGGTGGAGCGCTGGGGAAGGACGACCTCTGGCACTCCACGTGAAATTGGCTGCAACAAATTGAGAGCATGTCACAAATAAGCCAGAACACATACCTGAACAATTGGGTCTTCATCATCTTCCGACTCCACAAACGGCTTCGACTTCGGGAGTTGACTTGACTTGACACGCTTGCGTGCCTTCATCACCAACTTTGGAGGTTGGGAGGAGTGTCCGGAAATCATCGGAGACTTCCTTTTGTTGCTCCCCCCAACTTCCGGCTCCAGGTCGACGGAGGTGGCCTTACCTTTTCCTTTGTCCCGGACCTCGGGGGTCGTCTTGCCGGAAGGTCCGGCGACGACCGGAGGTGAGGGAATGATGGGGGTGGGGGAAGGGACAGGTGCAGGTGAAGGGACAGGTGGAGACGGAAGGTTGACAGTCAGTGGGCCAGTGGAAACATTAGGGACAACAGGGAGATCACAGGAATTGTCACCCAATGCCTCCCAGGCACAGACTTGCTTGCGCCAGGCGTGTCTAGCCACCCGGGGGTCATCATAGCCAATGCTGTGCCAGTTTGGCAATGCCTGGGGAGTCATGGAACGCACCCTCATCAGCTCCTTGGAGCAGGACGCCACAATTCCAGGGATGTATTCCCCTTTCTCATAGGCCCGGATGATGTCAGCCTACCCGGACATTACAAACATTAATGTTACACTAATTTAATGAGTTCAACATACCAAAAGAGTGGTGACCTGCTTTGTCAGAGCAAGGTGGACGTCCACTGAGCTGGCCGGGATGTGCCGGGCGCTGGCAATGATGCCCACAAGTTGAGCAGTGGATGCCTTGAGGTTGGCCAAGGAAGATTGAACTTGAGTAGACATTTGGATTGAGTTGAGAGATGTGAGAATGTTGAAAGCAGGGTGAAATCTGTTATCACTAGAATGAGGTTTCAAAGAAACAATACAATTGAAGGACAATGTTGAAAACTGTTCATTGTTTGTGTTTGTTTGGTCATGGTTCAACTTTCGGCAATCGCCGGCCATCTGTTGAACTTCGACGTTATCAGTTATCAATCAGTTCATCAGTTCATCAGCTCATCAGATTTCATGACCCTCCGGTCACTGAATTCACTTCAATGGATGTGGATGAGTCCTCCCAGTCCCGGATGTCCCTTGGTATGTTTTTTTTTTTTTGATTTCAGTCAATTGATCTGACATGGTTTAGATCCATTAGATGATATATACCTTGGGCCGGATGATGAGTTATACTCTGATTCCGGGTCGTCCGATGGTTTGGATGTGTTGAATGTGATTCCCGGTATGTTTTCCAATTCAAATGGACATATTCCGCATGTGCAAATTCATCACATACTTCCAGATCCATCATCTCCGGCTCTGGTGGATGGATTGGCCCTTTACAATAACCCAGACTTGTATCTTGGTCCGGAGGATACCTTGATTTCGTCTGATGATGCTCTGGTTGTACCTGATTTTCCTATGGCTGGTGAGGTCATTCTTTCTATTTCATGTTTACCTTTCATGGCATTTTCCCAGTGAATGAATTGACTCCGGAGCCTCATCTGGCCACTCCGGGTGTACCAGGTGCACCCATACCTTGTAGGTATAGTCATATCATTTCATG